CAATGAGTGACATCAGAGACTATTGCAATTAATGTTATTTGTGTAGCTGAATCACACTGCGAAATACTCTGATAACAGTAAGTAACAGTATCTGGGAGATATGTGGGCACAGACTTTCTATATATTCCTTAACGGTGTCAAATAAAAATTGAATTCATAGAGACCGAAATTGTATATTGTATATTGATATTTGATATCCATGTAAATCAAGATTTTCGTATAATTTTCTATAGTTCATTTAACGTTGCAATTCAAAACTTTACTCAGACATAAGCAAAACAAATAAGATTTAAACTCTTAAAATATATTGATAAGCTTGTCTAATTCGATTCGACTCAGTCCATAGTTAAAGCTATAAAAGCAGATCTCTGTCGAGATATTCTCCATAGTTGAAGGACGCCAATACATTCCACAACATGCCGCTGTCACTTTTGCTGCTGATCATTCTGAAAGCGGGATTAGTCGCAAACATGAATTTGGATTTTTTCTGTAGACCGGGCTACAAAATGAAGAATTTTCGATGTCAAAAAACTCAATGAGAACTGTTATGGAAAATATTTTTTATAAATATTTGGAAAAAAAAAAAGACAAGTTATAACGTTTCCGTGGAGCGTAACCGACTGCGAAATACTCAGTAATACCAATAAGTAATACCAATATACTCTAATACCTTCGGTGTCAGAGTATAAAGAAAAAATGTAAGTGCAGAAGCAACACCAAACGTAGGAGGCACTTTAAACAAACAATTCACAAAAACCAAGCAAGCAAGCAAAATAAAAAACAAGTCAAAAAAGAAGCCAAGCAAACGACAAAAAAAGAACGATGACATATCTAACTATGTCAATTTCCATTTAAAGCAGCCAGAATTGGCATAAATTCATTTTAATTAAATTAAATATAAAAGTCATCCCAATAAAGGCAACGATTTCGAAGAAATTAAACAAAATGTAGCTATTAATTAATTAAACATATATTAAATGTACTCCACATTGATTCAAGTCAAATCTATCTGTTAGTATTATGTTTTATGTGCTGCTCCCAGCGAGAAGGCATAAATAAAATATATGTTCTTTAATTTATGTGCATATTTCTCGAAATTTTAAGATACTGACAGAAATCGAGCGTTGAAAACTTTTCTAAAACGAGTCACGTTCGGAAATTGCGTGCCAGTTTTAACTAATGACGGACAAATGCGTCAATATCAAACTAGTTGCGTATTTTGCATAAAAAAATCATCAGTGTCACCTACATATTTGGCTGAAAGGGTGTCTTGTAATGGGCCTTTCTTCACATTTGGCTTTAGTGCGGATAAACTGGGCCCTTGCTTTGTCACAGTCACTGGGCGTGACCCAGTTTATTTATTTTTTTTGCCAGTCCCACTTAAACCACTACGTAAACTCAGAGTTGGAGTAAATTTCCTTGACATTGAACTACATTTAAGTGCCAGTGGGTATCTACATCTAAAATACAACTACAACAATAATGAAGGCGAATGCCAGTTTTATTTTGCACATAGAACGAATTCCAAAGTCAAATACAACTACAACCAGTTTCCAAAGATATTTTTGCAACGTAATTCAATCGACAGCTGACACACAATAACAACAATACAATTTATTGCCATTTCATAAAAAGTATTTGTTATTGGCAAATTGTATTCACATTGTTAGTTTGCACGTCTGCAAAACCTGTTTTTGCAGTTAGCGTTTTTTTTTTTATGACAAACGGCATCAGAAAGTTCCATAGGTACTTTTTTTGTGTGTTGATGCTCCTAAGCCGGATCTTTCTATGAAAATTTGAAATCATTTCGAGCATGTTAAAATATGCATTTGATTTCCAACTTTTCAAAATCTCACTTTAATTTAACATTTAAGTGCACTGCAAGTTTAAAGCTGTGCGCCAAATGCAGAAAGCTCGTGTAAAGCTTTTCTGTTAAGCAGTGTGCAGTGTTGCCGTGCTGCTCAAAACGAATACGTTTTGCTGCATGCACTGAGCACATACGTTTTTTGCTTGGGAGTAAAAAAAGTTTGATTTGAAGTTAAAATTGTACTCTTCTTACTTTTATATATTTTAATCTTATCAATCGATTAATTCACTTAAATCATTGAATGATATAACTAGCTATATTTTCGAAAAACTTCCTTTTAAAACTTAAAAAAAAGCGGAGTTATTTTCATAATAACAATTTTTTCTTGGAACTATTTAATGGCAGACTTACACATTCATCAACTCAGCTGTTAATTGTAGAGGCTCTTTGACCTTTTCCAAATCAAATCAATAATTGCCTACCTCAATTAACGGTACACAATTTCCAAAAAAAACAAAAGGAAATCCAATGCAAAAAGTAAAAAGCGAACGATCTACATATGAAATGGACAAAAGTCTTTCTTTCACACTTTCTAAAAAGCAATCAGCAGTGGCAACAATTATAAACATCAGCCAAACAACAAATAGATCTACATCAATTTGTATTAACAACAATGACAGCAACAGCAACAACAACAACAACAATCAAAATTACTGAACTGAAAACAGAACTGAAAATTGTGCAATCTGCGGCAGATAAAAAACAAAATAACAAGCGAAAAACGAAAAACAAAACCTAAGAAAAATAAAAGAACACATCAACAAAGCAACACTGGCAAAACTTGCAGGGGGAGCGCCAATGAACTGAAATGGTTTCATTATAGCAGCGAGGAGAGAGCAGTGTTGCAGTGCGGAAGGAAGAACGGCGACGGACGACTGGAAGAAATAGAACTTAATTAGTAGCAAAAGCTGAGTGAGAGAGTGCGGGAGCGAAAGCGAGAGAGAGGGAGAGAGGGAGTTAACGAATGATTTTCTGCACTGTTAAAAATATGAAAAATGTTTTTTTAATACAAACATTCAACGAATTTAATAATTGCACTTCAAAGGCTACACTTACAGCAAGATTGAATAACTGTTTTGCACCCCTTTGCATTGTCAAGTGTATTATTTTCATTACTCATACATTTTCCCTTAGTGTACTTGTATGCATATGAAACATTGAATATGTTGCTTTGCTCAGCAAAATTGAGTTCATGTTGCGCGCCTTGCTCCCAAAATGCCATCCAAGCAACCCAAGTGCACTATTTTTATAAGCATGCACCCCTCTCCTTCTTGCTCTTCTTCTTGATCTTCTTCTTCCTCTTCTGGTTGTGGCCTGCCGTGAAAATGGCTTTAGAGTGCAAGATACAACATTTATTTTTGTCATGCTCGAGGCGTGACAATTAGAAGAGATTATGGAGTTTTATGGCAAAAGTGTATATGTCTTTATGGAGGCGCGTGGGCGACCACAAACGACGCCGACGACAACTCGCAGACAACAACAAACACTCAGCAATCTGTACGGGAAAAATCTCGTTTGTTGGTTCGATAATTCTCGAGGTGCACATACATATATACGATGTATAGATATGTATGTAAACTTGCAGAACAATGGCGTGCCTCAAGTTCATTAGCTTTGGCACGTGCAATAATCGAAGGAGAAGAAAAAGAAGGCATGTTTCTCAAGGCATTCTCTTGCATAAGAGCAGATGAAGAAAAAGAAGAAGAAACGTCTCTCAGACGCTTTGACGTCATCGTTCCACAACTGTCAACGATGCTGTTCCAGCGGCGGATGCTCGATGCAGCATATATTGTGATTAATTGCGGCCAACATCCAGTTGACTTGTTCACACAGCAAATGGAATCGTTCGGATTACAGATACAGCTATATACAAAAACACAGATACAGATACAGCTATAGATACAGATACAGATACATATACAGAAAGAGGCACTCAAAAGTGCATTCGCATTTCAATTAAAAACAGAAGCGACCGAAAAAAGAGATAACAGAAATCGAAAGCAAACTGTAAAAGAAGTAGAAGAAGATAGCTCAACTTAGACAGCTGGAATACCCTATAAATATGTTGATGGTGAATTAAAAGCAACTTTTACTATAGGGTATATAGATTAGATCTTTATTATTGATCATGAAGCAAAACTCAGCTCATGTTGTCCATTGGGCAGCTTCTGCTGCCAGCTGATATACCCATTGTGAGAAGCATAAAAATACAGTTAAATGTGTCTCCAACTCCATGACCAGCTGTTTATTTATGTGTGCCGCCTGCAACACGAAATGTTGCTGAGATCGCGCAAATGTTGATGCGACAACAACCAGCAAATATCAGCTACCTTTTTTGGTGCACTTATGCAAGAGTGGGTTTGTGGCCAAAACAGGGCATAATTATATATATATGTACATATATATATGGCCTACACCCAAAAGTTGTGTTTCTTTTCTTTCTTTTTGAATGGAAAGCGAGACGGCACAGGAAGTTAGCGCCTTTGAAGTTGGGGGCTGACTGATTGACTGGCTGATTTTAGGAAGTCGCAAAGTGCAAGATTTCAATTTGCAAAACCGAAGCAGGAGAAGAAAAAGATACAAAAATACCTATTTAGACTTTAGACGTTAGCCAAAGTGAAAGATGCATCTAAGCAGCCAAAGTTCAGCAACATTTGTGCGGCGCCTTTAAATAAATCAGGCGTAAAGGCAAACAAGAGGGGCGCTATTGGGATATGGGGAGCCCTACAAAGAATAGCCGCCTTTGTTCAATATAATATTGTTTTTGTTGTTGTTGTTGTTGTTGCAACACCCACACAACAAGCGCTGGCAGCTGGAGTGCAGCTATTTTTAATTAAATGCAAAATATACGCGCTGGCAACATGTTGTGCGCGGAGCTCTTTGCCAACAACAGCTGCTGGCAACATAAATGTTGCCAGACAATGTTGCTGTGCAAGTCGTTGATGGATGTTGCCGCCGCTCTCAGTTGGACACACGACGTCGGCGCGTCAAGTTTGTGTAGCGTGGCGAAAACAAACAAAACAAAACAAAAAAAAAAGAATTAAAAAGTGGGCAAGGCATTGTTGCAATGTTGCATTTAAAAATAACGACATAAAAATAAAAATAAAAATAACGACACAATCGATTAGAAATACGAAATAAATACGAAATGAGCAAGAAGATGTGGCACAAAATATTCAAATCGAAGGCGCAAAAGCAGCAACAGCAACAGCAACTGAATAAAATCAATAAGCGTCACAGTCGCGGCATCTACGAGGAGTATCAGCAATTAAATGACTTGCTCAATGGTGAAAAATCGCCAGCGTTGCGTTTGTGCAGTGAAAATGAAAACGAAAACGGCAACTGCAACAGCAACAGCAACAGTAACTGCAACAGCGGCAACATTAATGTGTTTGAGCAGCAGCCGCAGCAAAGTTCTTTCAACTCGGCGGCGCTTAGTGAGGCGCAACAGCAACAATTGCTGGCGCAGCAACAGCAGCAGCAGCAGCAACAAACGCAACAGCTGTCAACATTTTCGCGCGTACGCAACACATTCTCATTGCGTCGCAACAACAATAGCAGCAACAACAAAAAGCAAACACCCAATGCCAAGTCAAGTGAGTCGGCCACGCCCACATCTGTGGTAGCTGCTCAACTGCAGCATGTCTTGATTATAGTTAATCAGATCGATGTCGCAGCAGTAACTGCAACAACAACAGCTACAGCCACTGCAACAGCAACAGCAACAGCAACAACTGCAATAACAACAACTAATACTCCAACTAACTCCGCTAATCATTTGCATGCCAATCCAGCAGTCACAAATCAATCAAGTAAATTTAACTTTTTAATTTAACAATTGCCCATATCCACTGATTGCTTAATTGCCTCCCATTTAAACGATTGATTTCTATAAACAGTTGGCAATTGAACGGCGAGAGAGTTAAACTGGGGGGAGCTGGGCCTGATAAAGGCACATTTTGACTAGTCGAACTAAATAATAACTGAATAAAAGCCAACATTAATTAGTTTATTTATCAGCAGATATAAATAATATGTAATTAATCCTAGTTTCACAGTTGAAGCACTTTTATGTTTTCTGCAAACTCTCCCTCAACATTCAACAAGCTCCAAGCTCCTCTTGATTCACCCAATTAACAACAATTCATTCAATCAACAATAATTTACATTCATCAAAATTTAATCGAAGAACACACATCACATTTATGTTTATACTGTAACAAAAACAATTCTTAATATTTGTCTTGGATCTTTTCGACTTGCTTAATCTCTTTTGAGTTGATTTTGTGTCACATCTTGTACAAAAATAATTTGTTGTAGACCTTTCCGTGACACTTTCAATATGCTTATCAGCAAGAATACAACAAATGCTGTCACTTGACAGATTTACTTTTTGAAATTGTAAAGAATATAGGCAAATAAATGTATTTAAATGTTTGAAGTAAGCCAGACAAACTAACAATAAACATTAGCCAGTTAAACTTAGAACTAAATGCAGCATTTTCTATCTAAGCCTGTCCATTTTTTATGCTCTTTTAACACTCACACTTCAATCCGTTAAGCTGTCAAAAGTTGAGAGTTCAGCATGTAAGCAGCAAGCAAGAGTCTCACGTAACAAAGTCAAGGGATAAAACCCAACCTCAACACATATGTATATATATACATATATACCCTGAATGTGCTTCAACAGCAAGAAGACTTAAATGGCTTATAGGGTTGGCCAAGATTTGCTGCAACAAATTGGTGGGGCTAAGATCTTAAACAGATTTAATTAGACACCTCTTAAGACATTTCCAAAATGGCATTTGATTGGGAAAGAAGTAAAAACTGAATAAAATGCGCAAAAGTAAAAGAAAAGCAAACCAAATCTTTGGCAAGCCGAAGATTTAATACCCTTGTAGGCAAAAGTAATGCTAAACAAGAATATATATATAGTTAATGTGGTCGGAGATATCGCCTTTATTGCGTTGCTGAAAATCAATTTATAAAAATTACATTTGGTCCAATAACAATTATAATAATTAATTGTTTTTTGCCCAAATTGTTTAGTACTTTATTTTAATTATTTTGTTTTTTTTTTGTTGTTGTGAAATATTGCTTTTGCCATTTGGTGTTGTTCCAGTAAACTTCCGAACTCTTGAACTTTCGGCACTCAGCGCCGCTCATTATTGCTATCTCCACAAATCAAAAATCTGCTTAGACTCCATCCAGACATGGGCGCCCTGCTGTTTAGCCTCCTTCTTCTTCTTCCTCTCATTTTTGGCTGGCCATTTTATTTATAAAACTCAAGTGGAAATAGTTGAAAGATATGCACAGACATATAAGTAATCTTATAATGGCCACAGTAGCAAGCAATGAGTGCATTTTGCAATTCGAGTTCGCCAAGCATCATTAACATATGTGAATTGTGGTGCTGCTGGTGGTGCTGGTGGTGCCAGTGATGCTGTCATGTGCAACGAACGCTCCATCCACATATCAAGCATCCATTGAGTCAGTCACTCACCCACTTCTCATCGGATTAGACTGCGTACTGAGTTGCATTGATTCGAATTGGAATGAGATCCAAAGACGAGCTTGAATAACTCTTGCAACTTGCAACTGGCTGTTGCACTGCCTCAACTCGCAAGATGTTGCAGAAATTTATGCGTGCCATTCGTTGATTTATGTAATCTTGATGTGCTGCTGTAATTGGACTATCTTTGCATTATTATTATGATATCGGCAGCAAGAGCTGTTAACTTCTATGTCATCATTGCCACTGAGAAACACGCAGGCAATGTTCGAGTGAGAAATTACCAGTTTACCCCTAAAAACACATAGGTTCCCAGTTCGTTTTCTTGTTGATTTCCCATCTAATTCATATGCTCTACTTTTCGTAATGGAAAAAGGGTAAAATACCAGTTGCAACTGGTATTTCTAAGAACTTATCTGAGATTAAATTCTTAAAGTGGCGCTGCTCTGATTGAAGATTTGATTGAATTATGATCAATTTATGCCAGGCTTTCAATATAACATTAAAATTCCAATTGTATCTTTTAGTTACTATATATTTGCTATATGATTTACTCAAGTGTTTATTGATATTATTTTGACAGCCAAACTATGATCAATTTATGATGTAATGCCCAAGGCTATCAATAATCAATGTCAATCATAATTTTACCTTGATTGTTGTAATTGTAATAATAATTCACAAAACGTTACAACTGACTACGCCAAACAAGAAGATTCTCCACATTTTTGGGGTCAATATCATCAAAGCATATGTCAAGTGGAAATGCCGCAATGTGGGCAGTTTTGGCTTGAAGCACCTGTCATGCGTACAGTTTTGTGTATCTTCGAGATACAGATATAATAATAATTGACGCCCACCACAGAGCAAAAACAAAAAACAAATAACCAGGCGCACCAAATCGCAAAGATATTAAAAGTTTGGTTGAGACAAGCTGCCAAATTTGGCTATTGCCACATTTCATGTGGCAGTCGTCGAATCGAGTTGGGTTGAGTTGAGCTCACAGATAAACAACAATTTATAGGCTGATCACACACGCTGTGGCACCCAAAAAGAGAGACACAATCCAAATAATAATAATAAATTATTTAGTTGAATTTCTTCTCTTTTGTATTTATCGTTATATTTTTGTCTATTGTCTTGGCAGCCTGAGAATTTATAGGGCTGTTTGCTGTGTTTGTTGTTTAGATGACGTGACAAATGGCGCCGGATAAGCAATTTGTCCACAAAAACCAACAACTGCAATTTAATGAAAATATATGCTGGTTTGGAAACACTTTCCAAGTGTTGCATTCAGTTGGAAAGTTTTAGAGTTTCTGGCTCAAGTCTAAGCTGCAGCACTTGGCCAGTTGCCCAAGTTGCAAAAGACTGCATCGGATTTTGGCTCATTACTTGCCACTTGCCTACTGCCAACGTTTTTTCCCAGCTGGCAAAGTTTCATTGTCACTTTCTACTTCTTTGCGCACTTTTCAATTCTAGTTGGGTTTACTTGGGCTTTCATGTCAGTTACTTGTGCAGAAATTCAAACCTATTTTTATGTATAGACTAAAACTGATCAATTCTGAAGAAAGTAGAATATAATATAAACCCGATCGCTTTGTCATAGAAGTCTGACTCAGTTTGATATTTGATTTCCTGGCTTTTGTTTGAGAATTGTTTAATTTAGTTATAGGGCTAAACAACCATACAAACATTGCAAATAATTTCCAGTTCCCCAATTGAAGCAACACAAACCAAATAAAATACTACAATAATCATTATAACTCCCATTTACTTTGCATAACAACAGCGACAATGGAATGCAGTGGAGCCGGTCAAGATCAGAGCGATGAGCTTTGCCAACCGCCACCACCGCTGACCACGGGCCTGGATGTGCCACCCGAGGAGATCAACAACCACAAAGTGGAACTCTCCGCCTGTCCCAACTGCAGTCGCACCTTCAACACGAATGCACTGCGCGTCCACATAACCGTCTGCGATAAGATGATGAAGAAGCGTAAACCCTTCGACTCGTCCCGTCAGCGGCGAGAGGGCACCGCCCTCTCCACCTATGTGCTACCCAAGAATTTTGGGCTGCCCAACGCGGAGAAGGCGGCCGGCTTGCATACACCACCGGCTGCAAGTCGTGAGACCTCCAGCGTCTCGAGCGGTTCCCAGCCGCAGGAGGTGAGTACACATATCCTACTGGATACATATGAGCTGTCCTCATGCTTAACTCACTGCCCGACAGGCATCGCCGCTGCCGACACGCCGCAGAAGTCAGGACAGCACGGACTTGCAACGTTCCACGGCACGTGCCTCGATGCGCAAAGGATCCACAACTAGCACAGCGGGCACAGAGAACGTTCAAGGTACGCCACAACCTGCAGGTCGTACTATGAGCCGGGATCGTCTACGCGCCTCGAGGCGCGCCAAGGAACCCGCCGCGGATCGTTGTCCCCATTGTGAACGTACCTTCAATCTGAAGGCCTTCGATCGCCATGTGGAGTGGTGCAAGGAGAAGGCCATTCAGGCCAACATGAAGACGACCAGCACCGCGGAGACAAACAAGGCCAAGGAGCGAATGGAGGCACGGAAACAGTACAAGCCACCCAATCTCAAGTAAGAAGCAATAAAATTCAACCCAAAAAGTTGCCTAACTAAAGCATGCTGCGGCATATCTCGAAATCTCAGCTGTCATAAAGCAAAATAATTCTTAATTGCAACAATTCACATTCGTTTCTCTACTCAGTTTTAATTTTCGTTTGTTGTTTTCACTTCATTTCAGAACGAAACGCTCGATCAATCGCGACAAATACTCCGGCGCACAGGAAGAACAGGGCGAACCGGAAATGGTAGCCACCAAACAGAATCTGATGTCGCTCTCCTCGATGACATCGTCCGTGCACAGTGATAAGTGAGTAGAGATCTGACTGTTGATTGATTGATTGATTGGTAGTCTAGCCTAACACTTGATTGGCCCATCTGGCGTTGCTAAAATGGTTGTCGTTGACTAATCCCCAAGTAATGTTTTTGACCAGTAGACACCGTCGCGTAGTTTATCCCTCACACATTGTAATCATAGCAAATGAATGGCGTAACTTACCCACTTACCTCAAACCCCAAAACATCCCCTCAAAAAAAAAACAAACACAAAATATATATCAACTCAGCTTGCATCGAAATGTGGCCGTGAAGATGCAGCGTTCTGGATCATCGCTGTCCAAATCAAAGACAAGCACAACTACAACGATTACTCAGAATAAAGTTAGTCTACGCATGGGCGCCGAGGAGTCGTGCGTCGAGAATCTGGAGCAGCGTGTTCAATTTGGGAATCCCCGTCGCAAATCGCGCGAAACTTCCCAGGACATTGATGATGCCATGGATCGTCTGCGATCACTCCAAGTGGCCAAATTGGACTGCGAGACGGCGACGCCCTTAAAGCCAGCAAAATCACGACCCGTCATCGCTCAACGATCGAAGGCACAAACACCGCCGGAATGCTTGGCCGGACCACCCCAAGCCACCATGACATTCGATGATCTCAATGGGTTGATTAAGCGCAGAGGTATTAAGACACTAATTCAGAGCAGATAGTCTGCAAATATTACAGTCGAAGTCCAGAAATGAATCATTAGCATTGCAATGCTCTACTTGCCATTATATCATCTCCCCTTACTGGGCTCAAGTTCATAAGGTTCCGCATTCCCACTGCGTGTCTTGAATTGATTAAATTCAAATGATTTTATAATTAGTTTAAGAAGTTGCAGAACAACTTGATGCCTCTTAATTAATGCAGAGTGCAATCGAGCATTCAAAAGATCAGCCATGCGTAGAGTTTCATTAGTTGCAGTCCAAAAGATATCTTGGAGTAGGAATGGTTCTGGAATAAATCTAACTTGAAGGCAATTGCTTGAAGTTTGACTTCAATTATAGACTTCTTTTGGCTACACATAATACTTGCTATTAATTTGATTTATAACGAAAGAAAAGCCCAAGTTAAAAATCAACAATAAAAACAACTTTCAGATTTAATAAGAATTCATTGTTTACAATCAGAATCAGAGTAATCCCTAAAGGAATACCAATTGCCTGATAGATAACAGTTTCAGCAGTATACATCTTGAGTATTAGTGATATAAACATAGAAATAACCCAACTTCCTTACTCGATCGCTGCACTGCGTCCGCAGGTGGAACTAATATATGCAATATCAAAATGGATATAGATGAGCAGGTGATCAAGGTGCCCTCGAAGCTGCAGTCATCCGCATCGCTGGTGCGTAAGGCATGTCGTCGCATACGGACACGAGAGAATCCAAATATTGATGTGTGCTCGCTTGAGCCACCAAAGCCAATGAGCACAATTAATGTGGCCAGCAAGGAGAGCTGTCATGCCCTGCCAGCACCGGAGTCATTCCGTTGCATCTCAAATGAAACAATGTACTTCGGCTCAGAGGAGGGAGATACCTCGCCCCGGGGCGAAGTACAGATCAAGCTGGAGCGGAGCACCTTTCAGACTGTTTGCCGACCCAATAAGAAATCTCAGCTGCCGATCATAACAAACAACGCGGAGCCGATGAAGGCGCTGCCCATGCCAGAGATTAAGACGAATTTCCTGCCACGCATTGACCACAGCAATGGACCACAACAGCACTATGAAGAGGAGCCGGACGAGGACTTGGATTGTGGCACAGAACTAGATGAGCAGGAGACATACGATGAGACCGACATGGAAGTTGGCCAGCTGCTGAGCAAGGCAAAACTACTGGAAGGTGACTACGATGATTATATGGACGATGTGCTCTACAGCGAGGACGAGCAACTGCAGCTGCAGCCACAGATTCTGTCGCCATTGCGTAGAACTCCAACGAATGTCAGTCGTCGTCTGGTGCTGCTCGAGCAGGATGAGGATGGCACCATGTACATTAAGGCGCCGCCATCGCCCACCAAACGACCCCCGGCACGTTTAGCCATCAACTCCGAACGGCAGCTCATCGAAAGGTTTGTTCCTACTAATCCCCTATTTTGCAGACGACAGCCAGGCGACGCACAGACAGAGGGCGGGTTAAAACGAATCCTTATCCTAGCGTACAGTTATACTCACAATTATTGTTTCTGTTTTTTGTACAAACAGCGGGTGTAGTCCACTGGTTAGCGACAAATACGATCCGTTTCTGTCCGCCAAGCGTCAGCTGGAGGAGCTGTGCTCACCGAACACACCACCCGACAACGAACCAGTGGTGGTCCAACCCACAACCACAACGACAACACCACCAATCCTAATGTCCACATCGCTAACCAGCGCACTGGGCAAAGTGCACAACGCCACAACGATGACACCGACATCGACAGCCAGTGGACAAAAGACGACAACGCCAAATTCGAACTTTCGACGCACCTCATCCTTGCGTGGTCCACGTCGCACACCACTGCTGCCCAGTCGTCCGCTCTTTGCCAGCAACTATCGGCCCACCATTCAGCGCGGCCTCTCCGACGAGGGTCCCATCTCCAGCAACTTCCTCAAGCCCGAGGAGTACGATGAGATGCCGGTGCGTGCCGCCTGTGTAAATGATTTCCACAGTCCACGCGTTGTGCGTCGCGATACGAGCGCCTCCAATCGCAAGCAGCACATGAAACTGCCGCTCAGCAATGCCACCGAGCAGCCCGCTCGCAATGTGGCCAAGACCGACTCACTGGCCGTGTTCCTCAAATACGAGCACGAGCTGGAGCAGCTGAATGCGAAGGCGGCCGAGCTGGCAGCGGCCAATAGCAAAGAGCTGAGCAGCAAGGAGCTCAAGGAGAAGAGCAACAATCTGAGCAAACAGAACTCGGCCAAGAATCTGACGGCAAACAGTGGTCAGTTGCCTCCGCTGCTGACCACGCCCATCTGCCCGCCCAGCCAAGTGGCGGCCGCCAAGGAGAACAACGAGAATTTGGTACACAATTTTGCGACTCCGTTGCGTCTGGAGCCGATTAGCGGCAGCAAACCCTTAACGCCAGTGGCACCCAGTGGAACGCCCATGCCCATTAAGCTGGAGAGCATCTTTAGTGCGTACATCGATCCCAAGCTGATCAATGCCTGCGACAATCTGAATGTGCAGCAATCGTCGACGGGCTCGTCCGATGCCAGTTCGACGCCACAGCAAATCACGCAGAGTCGCAGCAGTTCCCAGTCGACGATAACCATGGGCCCGGAGCAGCGTCGTCATTCGGGCGAGGCACGCAATCTGCTCAAGCGTAAGATGCGATTGGGTCGCAATCAGTTTCTGTACGATGCGTCACCCGAGGAGGCGTACATCTCGTCGGGCAGCTGTGCGGATGACGAAGGCAATCGATCCTCGCTGGAATTCGACGAGCAGTGCTGGCAACAGCAGCAGAAGCAGCTGCTTAGCAATCCACTGTTGGGCATGACCAAGATGCCCGTGTTGCCCACATTTGATGATTTTGATTTTGAGGAATTTCTCTCATCATTCGAGAATGAGAATGATGAGGAGCAATTTCCGCTGTTTCGGGATTGCCGCGAGTTTCTGCTGAATCGCACGACGAGCCGGCAACGCTCGTGCCAGAAAGCGACTTCAACACCACAACAACCACAATCCCAATCCCAAACCCATACCCATACACCGACAGAGACAGCAACAGCCACACTAAGATCCCCAGCCGGTGTCACCACCAGCGGCTCCTCCAATTTTATAACACCACCCAAAATGCAGTACTTTGCGCCGACAACTAAACAACAATTGGCAACCCACAGATCCGATTCGAATGCTTCGAGTAGTGGTGGCTCCTTTAAGACGCCACTCAATAGCAGTGGCTCCTATAAGACACCACCGAATTCCACACCGTTAAACAGCAGCGATGAGAACAACACCAACAACCACAACAACAACAACAACAACAATAGTCACAAGCTGCCAAGATGCACTGATGAGTCACAGAAGCGTGAGATTTTCATTAGCATTGAGACGGAAGCGAATGCCCAGGGACATTCGCCCATTTCGCCGGATTCACTGCGTCATATGGTGGGCAATGCGCAGACACCCATCGATGTGCTGCACATCGAGAATGGCAATGAGCCGGAGCATGCCAAGTTCAGTAAGATTAGCGATAATGAGGATCAGTTCGATGCTGAGCACGATGATGAGCCCAGCCACGGTCGTTGCACGACGAAACGGCTAAGCTCAATGCCGGGCCCAGTAGCGACCACAACACCAATATCCACATCCACATTGCCATCGCCATCGCCATCGTCATTGGCGCTGCCCAATGTGGAGGCGAACAATGCCAAGAATGTAATCGAGAAGATGCGCAACGATTTCCAGCAACTTGGCGAACAGGCGGGCGCCTCTGTGCGTCGCGACCTCCTGCTGCGGCAGGAGCAGGCGCTGCAGAAGCAACACTTGCAACAGATGCAAACGCAACAACAGGAACTGAAGCTTAACGCACCATTGACGCCATCGCCATCTGGTGATTCCGATGAGTTGAGCAGCCTGGATGGTTATCCCATGTCCTCGTCGCACTCATCGCGTCGCGGCGCCAGCTCCAAGCTTAGCTCCGACTCGGCTTACGGCAGGTGCGTCCACTTTTTTGTATATTTATTTATGTCTTATTTAAAATTGTGCATCTTTCGCGCTTTTAGTATATCGATTTATCGATACTTGCAGCTGGTTCGATAATAAGAAAAGAGTGTACCAACATAATACATATGTAATTGGTACAAATGTACCTTAAGTGACAGCCCTGTTCTTGGGCCGTTACTTTTCAAAACAACGACAATTGCAACAAATGTTTAATTTTTATTTCCATTTCCACTCCTGCAGCAGCAATTCGCCCTACAGTCTGTCCCGTCAGCGCTCCAGTGAACTGCAGTCTGGCAACTCGCCACGCAACCAGAGCCAATTGCGTCCGCACACGGCGAGCGGCACAATGAGCCTGCAGAGCGGCAAACAGGTGGCAAACAGCGGCATGATGGATGTCTCGACGCAGGCACAAACCAACTTTGGGACACTGAAAGCGCGTCAGCGCATGTTTGCTGGCAATGGCCTGGTTAGCCCTGCCATCAACGATGCCAATGCGGAATACTCCAGCAGTAGTTCGGAGCACTCACTGCCTTTGCAACAGCAGCAGCAGCAACAACAGCAACAAAACATCAATTACAACTACCAACAACAGCAGCAGCAGCAGCAGTCGCAAGCGCAGGTAGCATACAATAATAATAACAACAACTACGAACTTAATGCCAAGAACTTGAACAACAACAACAACAATAGCAGCAGCAGCAATAATAATAATAATAACAGTGTGAGCTGTAATTTAACGCCCACAACATCGCTGCACTCGCTGGCGAGCAACAATTCGAACAGCTCGATGACTGCCAGCATGAAACTGTCCAAGTTTTGTCATGAATGTGGTGGCAAGTTTGTCATAGAGCACGCCAAGTTTTGCATGGATTGCGGCGTCAGACGTGTCGTGCTCTAAGTCCACAAATGTAATTCATACTAATAGTTGTAATTGCTGCACACACACACACACACACAACACACACACACAGATGGAGACACACACACGCACACACCTAGACAGAGTGGCGAGTGAGCTGAGGAAACTAACCTGTTGGCCTGGCAGGGAAGCGCGGGGTTATACCAAATGTAGTCATAACATGCAAGCAACTTAATGAGAGAGAACATTTATCTATATATATACATATATATATATTTACCATATGTATATTCTATATACTATCTGCACCTTAAATATATTTTAATAATAAAAAATGCAAAAGTTTGAAAACGAACAAAAAAAAAAACAAAAAACATACAAACATATGCAATATTAATGATAAATAACAAGAAACTTTCATTTTAGTTTACTTGAAAACACTTTTAACCAAGTTGTTGATTAACAAAGACTGAACGAATTTAAAACGAAAAGCGTTGAATGCACACAAAATATAAACAACGGAAAATATATGAAAAAAAAATCTTATTCGAAATCTAATCCGCAATTGAAATTGTATTTTGTAAACTGTTTACTAATTTTATAGACACCTGCTTAAATATGATAATATTTACTTATATGAACACAATATTTAATTCGACTTTTATAGAGTTGGAAATAAATGGATTTGCATCACACATTTTTTTGTTGTATTTCGATTTATTTTAGAACTGTGATAAAAAAAAACAAAAAAAGTAATGTATTAAAACATGGAGACTAATTCTTGGAGTCCATTAAAACTAAACATTCATAAAAGTTATTTCTGTTACTTAAAGATATTACTTATTTAATTTGGTTTAACATTTAAATGAAGTTTCTTTTTCTTCGCAGCTGCACAAAAAACATTTGACAGACAAGTAAAATATGATAACAATGAGCTGTTATCACCGAGGATATGTTATAATGATTATATAGGTTATATGTATTTATAGATATGGATTATCTTTTAACAACTTAAATTATTAACGTTCATACATTTTTGAAAAAAATACTGAAAAACAATTAGATTAAGAAACGAAATTTGGATAATTCACAAGAGAAGTGCTTCCACACTTAGCTGATCCAGCAACTTTTATCTTAAATTAATATGGAGAATAAGCAAATCAAACTTAATATAAAACAAATTCAAATTTTCGTCACCAATATTGACATGATCAAGGGAACACAAAAAATAAAAGCGGTGCACAATTCTTATGGCACAACCAATTGATATTTGAAAAATATATGAATTCAAACTGCGAACTTCTTAAAGATTAGCGTGCAGAGTTTTCTAACGAAAAGGTAGTTAAATTCACACAGCAATTATATCAATAAAATCGCCAAAACTTACTGCAACTGCAGCAGATTATTCATGGACGTGAATCGACGGGAGGGGGGGCTGCTGGATCGGCAGTTGCATAGCATTAGATTGGACATTTTAGAATTCAGCGTCTCCCTTGCAGGTGTGCAGCAGGGGCTGATGGAACTGGAGGTGCTGCTGCTGCTTTGATCCGGAATATTGCTACTCTCATCTGTATTAGTTAAGTGGAGAATACTTTTTATTGGCATATGTTTCATGCGGAGATACAACCACTCACCTGGTGTGCTATTGGGCAAAGCAACAGATATGTGCTTCGGCATTTTGGCATACCACATCGTCAGTTCGTCATCAAATTCATCCTTTTCTGACAGCTGCTCTTCCACATCTTTGAGGAACTGTGGTCGTTGCAGGCCGTTCTTCTTCTTGAACAGATAGTTGCCACGCAACTTGCACTCGTCGATGATGAAGTTGATGTCGCGATGGTGGCGCAACGTTACCGGATTACCAATGAGTATCAGCAGCGACTTGGCTCGCGACAGAAGGACATTAACCCGACGTGGACTACGCATGAAGCCCAAGCTGGCAAACGAGCGCACCAACGTCACAATTATAATGGGTTTCTCGCGTCCCTGATAGGTCTCGACGCTGCCCACCTCCACTGTGGAGTAGCCCTTTCGTCTCAATTTCTCACTGATTAGCTTACACTGTGCCGCATAGGGCGCCACAACACCAATGTCCGACGGCTGCACTCCAACGCCACCGCCAAGGCCTTGCGTAAGCAAAGACTTGACGTACCAGCAGAGGACCTCTGCCTCCAGTGCATTGTACGAGCTGGGCGAGTCAGCTTCACGGCCTGTAACGCCATGCGTCGCCTGGAAGATGATTGGAAATGTGGAATTTGGCAGCATATGCCATTTGGCTGCCAGATTGACCTCGGATGGTGGCGCTTGTGCGATAAGTTCACCATTATAATACAGCTTATTGTAGAGCCCAACGATTTCCGGATGGGATCGATAATTGCGGCGCAAACGCGTCTGCAATGTGTGATCATAATTGCCACTGGCATCCACAGCATAGACATCGCTTTGGAGCAGTCGCTCCAAGAGCGAGTGGCTCAATCCTAGTTGAGCGGCACGATTGCTTTTAATGACGGGGCCCAGTTGCTTGTGGTCTCCGGACAGGATAACATGGCATGCATCATGCTGCTTAACGCCCACAATGCCAATCAATGACTCAGGCTCCGTGGATGCGCCGGCCTCATCAATGAAGATGTGTGTGAAAAAATATCCCAAATCGGTGGTGACAAGGCGGCCCACAACGCACAGTGTGGCGACAATGATGCCATATTCGCACAAAATTTCCGGACGCAGATGCTCATAGACGTTCTTCGCACAATTGGAATGCTTTAGCAGCAACGGCTGAATCGAACTTAATCCTTTGATGTAAACGGAGCGTGAGAACAATCGCATCAGCTGATGATCCAGCTTCACATCCCCTGTGACCCAACGCGACTCCGTCGCCCGCTTGGCCAAGTGCGCTTGCATCATCTCATTGCTAGCAAAATACTCGCATATTTTAATGGCAATCGTGTCACAGGCCGAGTTCGAACCGGCTGTAACAAGAATACGACTTGTGGGATTCTGAAGTCGCAATTGTAGAATGGCCTCAACAATGGTTGTCGTCTTGCCGGTGCCTGAACGAATATACAAACAAATATAGTCATGTGTAACTCCGATTCCCTCTAGCCACTCACCTGGTGGTCCGAACACAATGTAGGGCGCCTGGCTGCTGGGACCAACGACAATATGCTTTACGGCCTGCAGCTGCTCCAGGTTCTGAGCGATGTTCGTGTTAAACAGCGGCATATTGGGTAGTTCGACCACTTTGGAAGATGCTGGTTGCAGTGGCGCCTTATTGGGAAACAAATAGCGACGCAGCTGTGTACTCAGCGCGAGCAGCTGCAACGCCCGATACATGAAGCGATAGGGTGTGCGACGGGAGCGCAGTATTACATAAAAACGCTGGGCGAGCACATCGCCACCTGGGAGGGCGCCACGTTCGAATTTGCATTGGATGCTGGTACGCGTCACCTGCACAACGCTGGCAAGAAAACGACACAAGGGATGCGTCAGGTGCAGCGATTCGTGTTTGTGTGGCAGCAGCGCTAATATGGCCTGCTTGGGCAGTGGGGATGCCTGCAAGCTAGCCGACGGTATGAGCACCACTTCGTCTATGAATGGTGCAACGATCTCCTCCGGATTAAGGTTCGATTTACTGCTCAGTTTGAAGCTGTAGCTGTAGTTGTTCACTCTCTTCAGCTTCACATTGGGCTGCATTAGCTGGGCATACAGATGCATTGTGGACACGTCCTCGATGCTAAGCAGAGTGCCCAGCACCGAGCAAACGTTTCCCTCATTCAGTAGCGACTTCTCCAAATAATCCCTAAAGATGTCGTTCTCTTTCGACAGACTTTCGTTGGTGAAATCAACTTCGAGCGCCTGCAACAACACTTTACTGGGCTCGTAGTGCGGCAAACTGCGCATTATGTCAATGAATCTGTGGAATAAGCAACAATTAATTTATGAATTTTATTAACTAACTTGCACACGCACTTTTCTTGCTGTTGTTCATCCACGTATCTCAATATGTCTTCCTCATCGTCACTGAGCTTCTTCGAACATATTGAGCAAATTAGTTTTGATAGATCCATCTGCATTTTGCAAAGTTAAATTGAAAAATGAAAAAAATCGCATTACAACATTAACCGTTACCTTGATCAATTCATGTATCACCTTGTCCAAGTTCATGTCGCGACTGACATTTAAATTCACATTTAGAAACAAAAAAGCAGATACAGCGCAAAAAAAGGGACACGATCAATTTCTCGGAAATATGAGTTAAACTGAAGACCACCGGACGGGTACCGTTAATGGCTGAAGCAGCATTTTTGGCGATAAGTGCAGACAACTTCAAGTGATTCAGCCATTGGCATTTTTTTCTTATAGTCTCGCAAAACTCTATTATTGAGAAAACTTATGGAGCACTCACTTAAGTGAACTCACATAAGTGAACTACTTTGAAAGCTTAAGAGAAAATTAAAATTTCCAGCTATTTATTAACTTTATATAATTTTTATAACTCTATTTAAAAATACTTAATTCATAAGCGCGCCTAAAGTTGTATTTCCCTTAAATTATGCAACACTGATTAGGCAGCGTTGATTTTCGATAGAAAAGCAATCGGTATAATTTATTATTTACATTTTTGTTTGCAATTTATTTGAGCATGATTTTGGAAAAACGAGCTTTTGACCAGCGCATGCAATCCCAAAATCTCGTGCACATGCTGCAAAACAGAGAGTCGGGCTACACACGCAGCAAGCACAGTCAGATGCCCAGTTTGTCCTACGAGCAACAGTTCTACAAAGCAATCACACCCTGCCTGACAATTAGAATTGCCATTCCACCTGTTTATTTGCGCAAATTTACGCCGGATGGCAGTAAATTGCTGGCCTTCTCTCACGATCAGCGCTCGTTAATTGGTAACTTTCGACAAATTTACCTTGTGCTATTGATTAATCTTCAATATGATTTCAGTTTACGACTACAAGGGAATCGGTGCAGCCGGTGTAGGTCAGTTGTTTGAAAAAGTGGGTGTTGGCTGCTCCGAGACATACATTGATAATGATAACATCCTGAGATCATCGCTATTCGATCAGCTTTTGAAGACTAAGTATGCGCTGCGTCTGCTGCAAAACGACTCGGCGCGCTTTTATTTACATCGGGAGTTCAGCGTTTTCCTGGAAGATGCTCGCTATGTGCTGCTTGCGGGCATGTGCATTCTGCAGTCCTGCAATGTGTCTGTCTCGGATTACGAGAACTACGCGGATATCTTTGACAAGGTGGAGCCCTTCTCGTACATCTTCTTCGTTGTGGACTTGCAACAGGGCATTGTTACGGACGAAGTGCATTTGGCACAGGATGTCATCAGTTTGTCGCATAATCAGGGCATATCTGTGCATGGCAGCACAATAGCAATCCTCTCACTACTGCGTCAAGCCATCTACATCTATGAGCTCGTCAATGGTCGGCTAATTAAACAGGAGCACGAAATTGGTCCAACGCCAGCGAATTGTGCCTTCGAGGATCTCTCGCCCGTGGAAGCGGTCACTTTCGATGTGAACACCCTGCTGCCCATCACCCATATTAAGCAACGCGTGCTCAGCTTTCTATATCGTCAGATACAGCCAGGCAGCCCTGAGGCAATCGAAAGTCTAAAGGAATTCTACAAGAATTTTGAATATGTAAGTCAGCCAAGCAGGCATAGTTGAAAATGAAGACGTAAATTTGATTGCTTCCAGATAGAAAACATGATCATTGAAAAGATGCAATTGGTGGATAACGATTTGTTATTATTGCGATACGAGGAGCGGCCCAAGGATACACCCAATCTGATCACGGGCGAACAGTTCGAACCGCGGCGACGTCTCTACGTCTTCTATGACATAAGCAAGGAGCAAGTGCTTGGGGTCTACCACGATGACTCTGTCGATCTATTACGGATCGTCGTACAATTCTACGACAAGCTGTGCAATGTTCGATCGCTGCAAACGGGCGATGCGCCCTCGTCGTCGCATCATTTCATGCAACGCTACTGCACAAATCCCAACAAGACGGCGTTGATTATGCGACAGGCGGCACTGCGCTATAATTCCACCGTGCCCATCAGCACGCAGAGCTTCTCAACGTCTCCGTTTCTGAACTATAATCTGTTCAAGTATGATGATCGCCTCGTCTCGCCGCTGGAACGGCCAAAGGCCTGCTCCACAGAGGCCATTGTATTCCGCGATCCTGAAACGAATTTGATTAAGTTTCGGTTTGATGTGAAGGCGCGACGTTCGACGCTCACTCCCCGCGAGCTGTGTGCCTTCATCTATCATCCATTCGAGCCGCTGGTGTTCAGCTTGCAGAAATGCATGCATGTCTACGCCTGTAATGTACACATTTACTATCAGGGAACCATTGTTGAGCAATCGTAGCACTAAATGTACTTCTATACTATGTAAAAAGTCGTATTACGTAGATTTAATATTCGTATATTGCTTGTGCATGTGTTGTTGTTAATTAACATTTACTTTTATTATTAAATATTAAAAAAAAGAAAGAATTAATGTCGTATTAGGGAATTCTGTTGCATTTTATATTTTTTGGAAATGACTTGCACCACATTTGCTCAACTTAACATGTATCGATTTTTCAATCGATACTACATCTTCTGTAATCGATAGTTGAGTCTACTTTGCTCATCTCTATTGCAGCACGTAGTTGATAACATTTTAACGTTAAGTTTTGGGAAGCCGAAAACATATGTTTTTTGTTTATATCAAGTGAGAAGATGAGCGAAAAACGCGAAAGAGAAACAAAAAATTGCAATAGCGATGCGAATGAAGTGCTAATTGAGGAAATCGATAGCATCGATGTACCGGAGAACGAGCTGGCCCAGTTCGAAGTGACAGAACCACTGCGAATAGTGGAAATCATCGACATGGACGATGCGGATGCCAACGAGGATGCCGCCCAGGCAGCGGATGAGGAGGGTGCCCTAATTAGACGGTATGTGCAGGGTGTACAGTGTCTGGAGTTTCCCGACTTCTGCACCAAACTGGAGCCCGGCGACGAGGAGGATGACGATGAAGTTGCTCATCTGGCGGCCAAAAAGCACGAGCAGGGCGAGGAGCAGCCGGTAGCCTCGACCAGTGCAGCGGCAGCAGCAAAGCTTCTGCAGTCGCCCAAGCCGCCAGCCAAGCCAGCTTTTAGTGGAGGACGCGGCGGCGGCGGCGGCGGTGGTGGAAACTTGGGTCGACGCAGTCAACTAAATGCCGCCCTTGTGGGCCTAATGGGCGAGGCGAATCTCTCTTTTGCTTACGGACGCTACGATACCGCGGAGCGCATTTGCATGGAGATCATCCGGCAGAATCCGTTGGCCAGCGAACCCTTCTATACTCTTGCGGAGATCTATGAGAATCGGGATGAGGTGAAGTTTCTGCACTTTTCTACAATAGCTGCGCATCTGAATCCGCAGGATCGTGACATGTGGATACGCATCTCGGATCTACTGGTGCAACAGGGTCATTTGGCACGCGCCCGCGTCTGCTACACGAAGTCTATCAAGGTGCTGCACAAGGATTATGTGCTGCGACTACGCAAAGCGCAGCTCCTCGAGCGCATGGGTGAGACAAATGCGGCAATGTTTACGTATTTGAAAATGCTGCCACTGATGCCATCGTCCGAGTGGAGTTTGTGCCTCAGCACGGGCAAAAATGTGGCACGCTATTTCCATGTGCTGGAGAAGCATCACATTGCCCTGGAGGCCATGGAGGGTGCATATAGTGTTTGTGGTTCACGTTTCACCGTGGAGGATCTCAACATCTATTTGGAGCTGCTCATCCTGAATAAACAGTTCATCAAGGTGCTGCGCTGTCTGCGCGAGCGCACCAAACTGGAGCTGGAAACAGAGCAGGAGGAGACGCTGGAACTGATATATTTCTGTCACATACCCGAAGACTATGTACCCGAGCTGCGTGCCAAGCTGTGCGTCAGCCTAATCCACCTGCATGCTCATCACCTGCTCGGTTATCTTGTCCAGAATGTGCAGGAGTACATCACACCGACGGTGGAGCGTGTGGAGCTCTACATGGACATCACGGAGGCACTGATGCAGGAGCACAAATATGCGGAGGCAATTGCCCTAATGCGACCCATCACCGATGCCGACTCCTTCGATTGTCCAGCGTTCGTTTGGTTGCGGCAAGCGGAGTGTCTGCGTCAACTGAATCGCACCAATGAGGCAATCCAAAGTTATGGACGAGTTGTACAGCTCGCTCCATACTGCTATGAGGCCAAGTTCACATTGTCTGCGCTGCTCAAGCAGCTGGGCAGGCAGGAGGAGGCAGTCAAGGCACTGGAACAGTCCGGTGAACAGGAAGGTCAGCCGCTGCATGCGAGACTGCTCTATGAGCGCTGCATCATGCTGCAGCAGATCGGTCGCATCGAGGAGTTTGTCGATGTGGGCTATGTTCTGCTCGGCCGACACTCCATCAAGCTGAAGAATCGCGAAGAGATGATGGCAGCGGCAAATGGCGGAGGTGCCTACAACACCGAGGGACTCAAGTCCATCATGCAAATGCGCAGCCTGGCGGCGGGTGTTACGGGCAACGCTGAGCCGGAACAACAGGTGGCTCAAATAATTTGACCTTCGAAATATATATATATATATATATTAAATCCATAAATGAATTTTTGTAGGACACATCGAAGGCGACTGCAACGGCTGCGAATGCTGAGGGCTCTGATCTGACCATAAAGAACGAGTACGAGCTGTTCCTGGAGCTGATACGCACTGCCTATGCGCATGGGATGCACAGTGCTATTGAGCGGATTTGCTTCGCCATGGTGACCACAAAGCGTTTCACCTACTATCACTACGAGATCGAGAGGATTATGATACTCGCCTGTTATTTCAATCATGATTGCGCAATTGGATTCTCGTATTTGCGTGAGTTGATTGCCAAGCAGCCGGAGCATGTGAATCTGTGGAATCTGCTGTCGCTGCTGGTGCAGCAGGGCGATGAGGTGCGCTACTTTCGCTATGCGCGACGCCTGCTCCAACGACATCCGACAGTCACCCAGCCGATGCGCCTGTTCCTCGGCCACTATCATCTCAACTGCAGCTCGTACAAGTATGCGTTGAACGTTTATGTGCCCATATTGCGGGAGCAGCCACATCCGCTTGTCGCTCTCTCCATAGCCGTAGTCTTCAATCAGCTGGCGCTACAGAAGAAGGTGCTGCGTAAATCGGGTGCTGTTGCTCAGTCGGTGGCTTTTGCCCAACGCTATGCGGAACTGCGTTCGGGCAGCGATTGCAACAGAAATAATGTGCCCGATTCATGTGCTGCAAGGCAGGAGATCTACTACAACATTGGACGCATCTATCATCAGGCGAACATCCTGCATCTGGCCACCGATTACTATGAGCGTGCCTTGGCCGTGCACCATCCGCTAATAGAGAAGCACGAATCAATTCTGGGACTGCAGCACGAGATCGCCTTCAATCTGCATCTCATCTATCGAGCGAGTGGCAACAAGTGGAAAGCGAGACAATGTTTAATGCGCTATTGTGTTGTGTAACTGATAATATTTATTTTAAGATTTTCTTATTGGTAATTATAATCCTAGGACTGACTACGTTAATTGTTTAATGTGTTTTGTATTTTTTATTTTACATTTTAAGATTACAGAGTTTTTAAAAAATTGAACACTCTTAATTTTTAAAGCCAAAAGTGGTGGGTGAATTATCTACGAATCTCCTTCAAAGATAGTTATTTCTTATCATAAATATGTACATAATTAATATGATGAATGCAATTTGAAAAACAAATTTCGAAATAATTATAAATAAGAAAAAACTGTTTAACAATCATTTTATACACCGGGAATGATTAAGAATCATTTTAATCATAATTAAGAAAACTATATAAATGATATTATTCAGTCTATATCAAAATTTCTTCGCTTTTTAAATGTTCCCACAATATCAATCTCTTTCCTAATATTTGTAAAAGTAAATAATGAAAAAAGTTTGTCGGAGCAGCGTACTAACCTAAGAATGACAGCTGACTTGGAAATGACAAGTTTAAAAGTATCGATGATAGTCGTTAATCGATAGCATTGATATCGATGCTGCCATTGTTGGAGTGGGAGAGAGGCGAAGTTTGTTTCGCGTAATTTTTCGTGGTTTTCATGGCTGCAAAATGCAGAACTCCAAGGCCAAAATGGATGAATTTAAGACCAGGTTCATGGACCTGCTGCACAAACAGGTACGAGCACCAACCAAGCGTCCAACCAAAAGCACACTCATTTAACAATAATGTTTCACAGACAAATCGTCAAATGAAAATTCCAGCAATGGGATTTTCCGATTATTTCATACAAACGGTCACAACGGATGCCTTGCCCTCTTCCACAACAACAACAACAAGTACAACAACAGCGGCATCCACATCCGATGCGGATGCCACAGATTCAGCGGCGAGCGCACAAAAATCGGATCAGGAAATACTGGAGAGCATCGAGAAGTGCTACTACAGCGCCGATAGCAATCCAGAGCTCTATGAACTGAAGGTGAGTGTTGACTGAGTCACTAACGGCATTCCAATCTGATTATCATATTTAATTTCATTTGTTTATACAGAAAGTGCTCGGTGCTGGAATTGACAACCAGCTAATTGAGACGACCATCGCTCAGCTGCGCACACAGCAAAAGGTGCTCACAAAGCAGGTGCTGCAGAACATCTTGGAGCAACGCATTGCGTGCGGCAGTGAATTCCAATCGATCAATGAGACCCAAAAAAAGCTGGAGGAATCGTTGTGGACGTGCCAGAAGGCGCGCTCCTATTTGAATTATGCACGCACAAATCTGACAACGACCAGCTTGGAAATCTTGGCCAGCTACCGTAAGCGCGAGGTGCTTAAAGAAGTGCTGGACACCCTGATGGCCATTAAAAAGTTGGTAAGTTACAAATTACAACTGGGGGGCATGTCATGGACGGAACACGACTTTGCTATATGCAAATATAATTCAAATGATTTACATAAATTTAAAGTCTAATGTTGATTTCAAGTCGTGATTCAAGTCGTGTCATACTGCCATTTTCCGAGAAGTTAGATTATCCATATGCACTTCTCTCTGCTTTCTCTCCGGGCACAGCGCACCACTGACGACGAGCTGCAAAAATTGCTGGCGGAGCACAACTATTCGGCAGCCATTGCGTTGCTTTTGCAATGTCAGAGCTCGGCAACCGAATTTATGCAATACAATTGTGTTCAGTCGCTGCATAAGAAGCTGCAGGAGACCATGCTGCTGATGGAGTATCAGCTGGACACGGTGCTCAACGAGATGGTGCTAAATTTCGATATGCGCAAGTATGCCAAACTGCAGGAGGCCTACAAGCTGGCGAACAAGTCATTGATTGCGATGGATCAGCTGCACATCAACTACATTTCATCCGTGCACTCCACGGTGAATGCAGTGGTGCGTGGCTACAGTGAACCAACGGCTGAGGAGCAGCCCAAGCTGCTGTACGAACAACTATGCGATCAACTCAATGCGGATAAGCTAATACCGTGTCTGATCAGTTTGTGCAAGACTTTCTGGACAATACTGGCCTCCTACTATCAGGTGGTCATGTGGCACAACAACTACAAGCTGTATGCACAGCAGGAGGACACCGATGGCGAATCACCCGATCTCTATATACAGCAGAAACTGAAGAAGGGCCAGTCTCGCATCTGGAACGATATTCTGAACAAAGTCTGCCTCTTTCTGCAGAGTGCCAAGTTGACAACGCTCAAATACGATCAGTTCATCCAAGTGCTGTCTATTGTGCAGCGCCTTAAAAAAGTGGGCGTGGAGTTCTGTGGCGAACAGTCGGAGAAACTAATTGCGACGATGCAGCAGCAGAGCGAGGAGTTCTTTAGACGCTATCACATCTGTTGCGTTGAGGAGATCTGCTTGTTTTTGGACAACGAGTCTTGGACGCCGCTGGACTCCTTTTCACACATACTGCAACTGCCGGTAGGCGTGGAACTCAAACTGAAATATGAGACAATTATTGATAATTTTTTTAAATTCTCACTTGTTTCGTTTAGGAATTCCGTTCGGTGCGTAACACGCTCCGTCGTCATAAGTCGCCAACGACTGCACTCGCCTCCAATAATAATTCACCCATTAGCAACAACAACTGCGATGAGCTGGTCTCTGTGCACTCCCAGGATGGCGGAGGCAGCTCCATCTATGGTTCCTACGGCTACTTTTTGCGCTTCTCGGAGAAGAGTTCACCCTTTGACGGCGGCCTCGATGCGGCCATGCTCGAGGAAGACATACTCTCGGGCATTGTGGACGAGGCGTCTTGTTATTTCAGCGAGGAGAGCGACGATGAGCAAAAGAGTCTCCAAAGCAAGGAATTCGCTGACGATGCCAGCAAGTGAGTATAAAATACTTAAATAGCTAGCCATCGTTTTGAATAATTCAACTCGCTTTCTCTGCTTGCCAGTCAATTACTTGTGAACAATACTGCACTAAATGTGCTGCGCTGCATTGGACGATATTTGCAAATGTGCAAGCTGCTGCACTGCATCTCACCTAGGATTGTGTTTTGCATGCTCGAGCTGCTCGACTTTTATGCATTTTCCGTGCATGAGATTTTTGGCAGGGATTCGGTAAGAAAAATAACTAGCTAAGAATTGATTTTATGGCTATGAAAAAGTATCTTCGTCAACTTTCGAGATCCGATTCTAATTTATTTATATATTTTTTAGCTGGTGTCCACTGATATCCTGTATACGCCGCGTCTGGAGCAGCGTCTGCGTGCCGTGGAAACCAATGTGCTTACTCAGATCAAAGTTTGGCCACTCAACTTTTCATCACTGGTAGGCATAAAAAAAAGAAATCATTTCCAAAAAGTTCTTAATTAACGCTCAGGTTCTCTTGCAGACCAACAATGAGCTGGCCAATCCGGATACACTGTACGGCCTGCCACAGCGCATTGTAGCCGTTGAGGCGGGTCGCAGCATGCTGCAGCAGTTTCATGTGCTGCAGCATTATTTAAATCATCTGTTGCCTGCTGCTGATAGGCCCATCTTAGTTAACTATCTCGACTATAGCGAATACATGACTGATCTAGCCAAACCTGTTTACACCTGCGTCACATCGCGCGCCATTGATCTGACGGGCATACTGGCGCAAATGGCAAAGGTCAAATGGGATGTGAATCATGTAACACATCAGCATAGCAGTTACAGTGATATCTTGAATCGTGTATGTATGAACGGAAGTATCTGAAATCAACCACAAGCTCAGATCCAAATTCCTTTTTCCATAGAACATACAAAGTTTTGCCATGTGCCTGGAGGAAATCGCCAAGGAGGTGCCCATACCTAGCAAGAATGTGTGGAACTCAATGGCGCATGTGGCTTCACGCCTACTTGTCGAGGGGTTAGTCAGCTATTTGATATATTATTGTACACAGTTTGGAAATCTCATATATTTGATTTATTCCGCCTTAGCTTCTCGAATGTCAAGAAGTGCTCGGCAGGTGGACGCGCACTCATGCAATTGGATTTTGCGAATTTTATGTCGTTCCTCGAACTAATCTCGAATCACAAGTATCCGCAATATCGCACCTTTGTCGATGTCTTTATCAAATCCTATTACTTTTCGCCCGAGCAATTCGAACAGTTTGTTGAACAGCACCGGCATGGCGACGAATATTCGACGAAACAATTGACGAACCTGATACAATGCATTTGTGTCAGCGACAAGCGCACACGACAGAGGCTGCTCCAGTTGTTGGAGGGCGTGCCCGCTGGTGTTACGCCCACCACAACACCGTACAAGAATTTCTATAACTCCGGCTCGAACTTGAGCAATGTTATTTAAGCTTGTCTATTTTTCGTTCGAAAATCTTTGCGTATTTATTTTGTTATTGTAGTCGTAATCATTGTCTAACTGTTTGGTCGAACCTTTGTTAGTAGCTGTATTATTGTGAGCGTTTCTGTATCCATTTGAATATTGTACATTCCGTTTAGTGCAAATTGAATAATAGTTTCTGTTGTTGTAAGTTTTGTTCATAATTTTAGTTACTTAAGCGATCTCCACGATGTACTTCATTTCGAATTCCGAATCTGCGAATCTGTGAATCTGTGAATAACTTGAAATCTCTTTGAAAATCTCTAACACGCTCTCTACTTATAATCAAGGCACAAATTTGTTGGTCTATTTTTTGCAATTTTGTTTAACATTCACATGACTTAAGTACCTAGAGAAAGCATATACACATACATACATATACATATATAATATATATATATATATATATATATATATACTAGAGATAAGGCATAAGAAAAACCAATTTATTATGTATATTTATTTTAATATCCAATTGTACAATTTATTTGCGAAACGGACAAATACTTGTAATAAATCGCTATTATACAATATATGTATGTAAATCAAAACTCCAATTTACCCGATCGGGGTTTACTAACACACACACACACACTTAATACCTAGTGGTATATGGATCTGTAACTAAAAAACAAAAGAAATCATGCGAAACAATAAAGAGTTCATATTTTGAGATATGCATATTAAAATGATATTGAATCACATTTCTCATTCAATAATGAGGACAATTGAAACCAGTTAATTTTTCAAAGATTAATTAACATTTCAATTATTTATTTTTCAATTTATAATTTATCAAGGAGATCTTAAATGATCTTATTGTATTTAGAGCATGACAAGAGTATCTTATTTTCGGCTTATCAAAAATTGTGACTTTGTCACGAGGAACCTTTATCCTTTTGTGTATCCAATAAGTTTTCGGCACACAATAAATATGTATGCACAGCTGCCTTTTTATATTAGCTGTCTAACATTACAATAAAATATATATAGATTGTGTTCCGGGCTTGAGGGCGTTCCAGCGTTTCTCGCAATGATTCAACAATTTGTTGCTATAAAAGTGCCCCAAAACCGCTATACTTGCCACAGTTTATTCGACAATGTGTTCGTTGTACATAATCATTTTACTTTTGTGCGCCTCCCATGCACGTGAATTCATCGAGGATGTTGTGCAGGAGTCGATGGCATCGTTAATCGTGATACGCTATGATTACTGCGAGGAGCTGTGGCTGGACAGGATACTTGCTGAGCCACCGTTGCCAGTGGTGCTGCAATCCTTGGACAGTGACACAACCACAAGCAAGAATTTTTCGCGTGTGCTGCAATTAGTCTGTCTGCCCAATGTTGGTTATCAGTTGAAGCTGACAACGTGGCTGGAAAATGTGCGTGGAGCAAACAGCATATTCTATATAATGGAAACTGTTTCTTCATTCGCCTCATCCAAAGAGTTGCTTCAGTTGCTCCTCAGACAATGCTATAAGTTGCGAATGCTGAGCGTGCTTGCATTAATTCCAGAGGATTCGGATCGCTACTACTATCGCTATCAACCCTATCCTCAGTTTGAGTTGGAGCAGCGCTCGCTCAACCAAAAACCCTTCTTTGTGGCGCACTTGAGGAATATGCAAGGCCAGCCGTTGATAGTGTTGCCACAACAGAAGCATCCGAGGCTCATTGTGTACAAGGACTGGCGCACGGGAGCATTGGTACTGAATGGTTCCGTGGGCAGATTTGTGCGCACTTTGGCTTGGAAGTTGAATGCTAGCATTGAGTTCCCCACACAAGTAAACTTTGATTTGCATTATACGGAGCTGGTGAAGCTGGTGGAACAGCATCATATTGATGTGCCCGCTGCTCTGACGCCGCTCACCAAGACCGCGCAGTTGCCCCACATTTGTTATCCCTTCGAATTGAGTCACATCTGCTTGATGATTCCCATAGCTCAACAGTTACCCATCAAGGATATCTATGTGATTATATGCAGTGCTCAGAATGTACTTATAGCACTGATTATTTTCTATAGTTTTGGGCTGCTGATGAGCACGCACAGCTATCTGGCTGGAGAGTCCATCAGCTGGGTGGATTTTGTGCTTAACGATGTGGCGCTGCGTGGACTGCTGGGCCAATCTTTTGGTCGCTCCTTGCACACGACTCTGTTTTTCAGCTGGATTTACGTGATGCTGGCCCACTTTGGTATGAATGTGAATTCGATTCATGGAGCTGCCCTGGGCACACTGTTGACCCATCTGCCAAAGCATTTTCAGCCACGCACCTTTGCCGATGTCCGACGACTCCAACTGCCTCTAGTCATGGATGAGGCGGATGGGTTACATGAAGTGAATTTGCACAAATTGACCTTTAATACGAGTGTCTTCAATAGCCAGAGGGACACGATGAACACGAGTAATGTCTATTTGGCCTCTCGGCTCAAATGGACGCTGTTGAGCGAACAGCAAAAGTATTTTCCACACGAAGTATTCTTGTACTCCAAGGATGCGTGCATTAGTCATCTCACCCATATGGTCTTTCAATTGCCCAAGAATACCTGGTTCCAGGAGCCGATTACTAACCTGATTATGGATGCACGTGATTTTGGTCTCTTTCAGTATTGGGTCGGAATGCATTTCTATGATATGGCCGCAGCGGGTTTGTTGTCCTTCAAAGATCCCATCGAGCGGGTGCCTCAACGTGTGAAGGGTGCTCTGCGTTTGGAGGATCTGCAGTGGATTTGGATTTTCATTGGAGCACTCTTGCTGCTCGCCACAAGTGTGTTCGCTCTGGAAATCCTGATCAAGCGATTGCAGCACTGGCTTCTGCCAGTTTAAATGAATTTCGAATGAAAATTGAGCTATGATTATTGGATATGGGTTTGGTTTTTGATTTTGAAATTTTATGTAGAATAAAAGATTGAAATGAATAATGTTTGTTGTAGCTTAGAATTCGTTTATTGTTAATTGATATCAAGTAAAGTTGAGAGCATTACATGTCGGTATTGAACACGATCTAAGGGGGTAATTGTCAGATCTAGCTATAGGGGGGAAGTGAAACAGAGAGTTCTAATTATGTGGTTTAGTGGTTGATTAGATCAGAGTCTGAGTTCGTTAGAGCTTAGGCCATATTTGTGTGCTCATCGCGATGGAAGATTTTGACGTCGAAGAACTTGAAGTTGTCCACGTCGAAATAGTAATCGCGCTTCACCGGACGATTGAAGGGGAAGCCGAATGGCAGAGCATCCACATAGCGAGAGCCATGTCCAATACCACAGCTGACAATGGGATCGTAGCCGGTGTACTGCTGTACGCTGGACTCATGGAACGGATAGACCATGTAGAAGAACTGGTACACCTGACCGCCCTTCTTGCCCTTGGGCAACATCATGCGATTGGGCACGCCGCAGTGCGCCTCCGACTGATCCAGCTTGAATTTGTAATCGCTGTTGGTGGCATCCATCAGCTTGTGGTACAGCTCGAAGTAGGTGGTGCGATCATTGACCCAGAAGCTGAAATCTCCGCTGGCACGCTTGATGTGATTGACGCCGGCAGCCAGCTGAACCTTGAAGTGCTCCAGCTCGAAGAAGTTCTGATAGTTATGCTCCAATGGGATCACATGTCCATACTCATCATACTTGGGACCAATGAACACCTTGACAACGGCACTCTGGGCCTTGTCCGAGTTGACATCCAGGGTGAACTCGAAGGGTTTGTGGTTGAGACGGTGTTGACGGGCCTTGATCACATAGCCGCTGCCATTGTAGTGGGAGTTACGTCCAAAGCTATAAAGGACATCACTGGGATGCTCGTAGGTGGGCTCCACATTCACAGCATTGCTGATATCGGCATCGAAGTACTCGAAATAGGTGGTGAGGCTCTCGGGCATGTGGACGTTATCGATCTTGACACCATCGAATCCATAGTCGACCTTGGTGTACTCGGGATAGGTGTCCATCATATTCCAGTACTGGGTAAGTATACGCTTGTAGACCTCAAAGAACATTGAATCACGCATCGAGGTATCGTAGTGCATGAAGGTGCCGGGATAGGTTTCATGGTACTTGCCAAACGGACGTCCCTCGTTCACAATGTAACGGTACCATTTGTCCAGACTGCCATAGAACTGGGTATCGATGCTATCAACATTGCCCTGGATCATGTTGCCCAGCTTATTGATGGCATCCAAATCGTGTTCGGTATTCTTGTGCACCCAGTCCATGATACGCTGCGTGTACGTCTCCACCATGTGCACGTACTCAACATTCTCAGCCGTGTAGAAGTTATAATCGTTGGGACGGCTCGGATAGGGTATGCCATTGTAGCCACGGAGACCGCTATAGAAGCCAGATTCGACGGGTTCGTACATGTTGAAGGTGGGCACCTCACCCATATCGTTGGAGAGACGTTCCATGTAGAAGCGAGCAAGGAGTTGCCAGTGGACATACAGATACATCTCACCGCGACGATCCTTGTTGAGCTTATGTTGCTCATCACCCTTTGTCCAGAACGGATAGTCTAGGTTGAAGTAGTAGTAGAAACTGTTCATGCCAATATCCTCCAGGAAATAGGACAATGCATGGTCGTAGTTCAGATCACCATAGTAATTTGTGTAGTTGGACTTCATCACCACATTGTAGACATTGTTCAATTGCTTGACATGATGGAATCCATGCATCTTATAGTGCTCAGCCATCTCCAGGGTCTGACCATCGAAGTAGCTCCACGGATGGATCTCATAGTGCGCCGGCATCACAATACCCTGCAGATCGGCACGATGCAGACAGGCAATGGTGAAGGCATAGACAAAGAGCTGGGTGTTCACATGCTCGCGGGCCCAGAAGACGGCATGCTGGAAGGTCTCCCAGTTCTTGGCATAGTAGAACAGCCTCACAAGTCCGTGGGCGTATTCCTCATGGCGATCATAGAACAGTGTCCACACCTGATCATTATGGAAGGGATGATGTTGCCACAGCTCAAAGAAGTCCTGGAATTTCTCCGGATGATCGTAATCGCCGACATGCTCCCACGGCTTGTATTCGTAGAAGCTTGCATCGTATTTGGTGACAAACACATCGTCCTGGTAGACATGCTGCAGCATTTCAAAGACAAACTTCTGCTTGACCAGGAAATCCTTGTCGGCCACCTTGAACTCAATGTGCTTGGCATGGCAAATGCCAATTGCCACCACTGCTACCGCCAGAACAACAACCGCCGTGATCGACTTCATCGTGATCATATAGCTATAACACTCGCTTCAACCTCCATTTATACGCAAACCGATCACACAGAGCTATCGGGCTATCAGGTATGGTTTAAAGTCGGCCATCGTGCGATCGTTGATATTGCCCTCACATTATCACAGATCCGTTCCACCTTAATGTACACTATTAATATATACATATACATATATAGTCACTTATCACCTATTGATAAGCACTGTGCACCTGTGTCACACAGATCAATTTAGGGGATTAGGAGGCTGGGCATTCAATATTTTCTATCAATGTAACAGATTCCATCATCGAGCTGATTACTTTGTTGACTTACACATTTGAAGAACAAACAAATCAAACTGAAAACAAAACCAAATCTACTTTATTTGAATATTTATTTAGTTTTTCAATAAACAAGTGAAAAAAACATATGTTTTAAATTTATTTGAAGAAATTAATACACTAATTTATTTATTTTTAATAAACAAGTGAACTAATATGTTTGACTATAGCTTTAAGCTACATTTATAATTGTGTCTCACTTTTTATTGCTTTAGTTGAAGAAATTCATCTTTAATTTATTAGTTTTCTTTTTTTGAATAACCAAATATGAATAACGTCAAACTTATTTTTGAAAATTAGCTTAAATTCTTCCAAGCAGATTTATTTTTAATTTGGCTGTAAAACAGCTAGATTTGGTGACATCATCGCCTAGAATTACCTGCTGATTGTGCATCATTTGGCACTGCACCTTGACTGCAGTCTTGGGAGCCGTTGTTTTGCTCGACATGAGCCTGAGGGTCGAGCAGCGGTCAATCCAAAATAAAACAAATGTAAATAAATAAATAAAAAATGATGATGCGCCCGAGCTTATCTAGCGATGTTGCTAGCCGCTTTCAATTAGTCTAAAAATATGCACAATAAATATGCACGTCCATAAATGCAGAACATAAATCATATCAAGCTAAATATAATTAAAAGGCAAAATAAATCAAAAATAATATAGATAATGCAAGAGCAGCGGATGCGATTCGAGGCGCCATGCATTAGTCGTAAAAAAGCCAAAAAACAATGTTTATGCGAGGGTGCCGAATTGTAATATTTATTTATTTTGATTTAATATGAGTAAAGCTTAAGTAAATCTAATTTTACAGTTTTCATAGCAGAGCATAAACCACAATTTCGATAACAAATACCAAGAGGCAAACTGCAATTGCGCAAAAATAGGCATAAACATAATATGAGCTGTACTTGCTTTGCAAAAGGGTATTGCAATAACTACCTTCATAGGGCAGTTCAGTAAATTGACGAATAGCAACCAGTTTATCGAAAACACGATATCTCCACAACTTATATAGTCCACTTGATTGGGTGTCCAAAATATAACGATTGAGTGGCAGCCGATAAATGGAGTTTCTGCTGAGTGGAATGGCGTAGGGCATCAGCGAAATGTATTCAAACTCCTGCGACAGGCGAAAGGATACTCGCGACTGCTTGGCGAACTTACGTTTGATTAGAGGCCAAAGGGTTTGGGTTACGGGATATGCATAGGATATATTTGGTAGACTACGCAAAGCTTGATATGTGGCGGAATCCACCAGCCGATGCACATCCCAATTTTTTTCCAGTGTTTCTTTGCCAAACGCGTCACTCATTGCATTTTTATCGATCTCAGTCAAAAGAATCTTCAAACCAGTTCGGCGCATATCCTCATAGGTGCGTACCAGTGGTTCTCTCAAAGGTTGCACCAGCAGCATCTGCAGCTGAGCTATATAAATATTGTAGGATAAGAAGCTGCAGATGAAGAGCAGAAAATATATCCACATTAGCCTTAAGCTTGGTGTTCGACGCAACACAAATGTCTGGCAGATCATGGCCCTCAAGACCGAATCGATGCAGATACCCAAGCACATCAGGCCGGGACTCAATCCCAACTCCAAACGTTGAGCATTGTATAGTAGTAAACCAAATAGGAGCATTGCAATCGAGACCAGAATAAAATGCATAGGATTTGCGGCATCTATCATGACCAGAGAGGTACTTACTTCCGGCTCTGTGGGTAACATCAATTGACACTTGGACATTTCCACTACATAACTGCTGGTGGGTGATGGAAACTCCGATATACTCATTGGTGCATTCACTTTGCCCATATTTATCAATCTTTTCATTTTCCATCCATTAAGTATCTCTCCATCCTTTAAATCTCCTTCCCACCAAACCGTAAAAGTTGCATTTAATCGTCTCACAAAGTTTCGCATGAATGGAAGTAAGTAACCAGCCAGTTGCCGAGTTCCGTTCGCATCCTTATAGATGATACTACGGGGCATTATATTATCCGATAAGGTGACAAATGGATGACCAGCCATATTCTTCAGCTGTGGCTCCAGAAACCGTTGCACTTCTGCAATCCTTCGCTCGATTCGCTTATATTGCGGAAATGCATGATAGCTATAGATATGCTCCTGACTCCAATTACCAATTGCCAGCACATTCAACATCGCCTTATTATAACAATCCGAAAATAAACCATCAATATCGATAGACTCATTTATCAAAAATAATGTTGGACTTTCTCGCATTCCGTCAAGATTTATATCGATCGCTCTTAGAACCGGATCTGATGGGTTGTACGGGCAAATAAGTACTAGAAAGTTAGTTTTGAAGTTGTTCTTAAGTCGAAAGAATTGATATCCATTTAATTTGATAATTGGAGTTGAATATGCGACACTTAGATCCATCCAGCACTCCTCAATTTCGTTGTTTAACAATAAGATAGACTCGAAAGAAAATTCCTCTTTTAGTTTGTTGAAAATTTCGCCAGGTAATTGCATTTGTGCGTGAACTAAGCAGAAAAAAATTATGAAATAAGATTTAGCTTTACGATACATTTTGATATCTATTTGAAAATTCAACTAACAGCACTTTGCAACTGACCAAAATGAGGACCAAATAGCCGCTTTTATTGAACTTCTGGGCAAATATTGCTTACACAAAAACGTTTAAGATTAATGATACTTTAATATCGATGCAATTAAACAATGAGCAAAAAACTGGGGAATTGTTACAAATGAAGTTTCTGTATGCATGTTGCTAAGGATTTTCAATTGTGTAACAAAAACATTCTGTAAATATCAATAGTTTTTCGTTATGACATCAAAATCATCATTATAATCATTACAATTTGTACTAAATGGTTTAAAGGGTAGTTCTTATAGTAATATTTGTTATGCCTTGCCTGTCAATATATCGCTCAGCCGTTTTACAGTTAATCAAAGTGCATATTCCCATCTAGCAGGCGTTTTACAGTTCAACAAAATACATATTCCCATCTAGTCAGCCTTGAAGCACAGCAAATTTTTGGGCTCCCAATGTGAGAAACATATGTAATTCACTAGTAATTCAGCTCTCGAGCAAGTAACATCAGGCTTTCTGTTCTTTATTATCCATAATCCAATATCGACTAACAAAATTTCTGTGTAAACAATTCAATAATCACAAACAATTCAATTCATACTTCCAACAAAACTTAGATTTAATATTAATTTTATTAAGTTGAGTAATAATCAAGTTAAGGCTTCCGATTCAAGTACACAGATCCAGCACAACCCACTGCGAAAAGTGTGTGTGTTTGTTTATGATTTAATCAAGATTCAATGGAATTCAAATAATACAAATATTTGTGTTTTGAAATCGTTTTTGTATGTTTGGTATTACCAATTTGCAGCAGTAATACTAGTGGTAGTTTTAGATAAGTAATTAACGTGTTTGTGTCATTAATTATCATCAATTGTTGCAGGTTCAGGCTAAAGACTGTTTCTGGATGTATGTGCGTACCTTCAGCAGCAGTGTGAGCCCGGCTATTTAAAAAGAAATTCAAATAATTTAATTGTATAAAAAAAAAATATATATATAAAATAAATAAATATAAAACAAATTGTAAAAGTCATAAATGAAATAAATACATACGAACCGGCGGCAGCAACAGGCGGAGCTATCCATCGCCGCCATCAAGGAAAAAATCGACAGGGACAACCGGAGTCAGGAACCAGGAAGTCGAAGCCCGGAGACCCTGAGACGCCTCGGATTATATCAACACACCTGTGAGTTTGTTCCCGCCTAACTGAGGCAGAGTGAGCCAAAGACAGCTGATCGGCCCTAACCAATGCAATAGTGATGCTCATTTGTCACTCAGTGATGCGTACTTTTGAAGCCAAATAAAAAAGGACAAGAAAAATCATAAATATATTGTAAGCTTTAAATTAAGTAGATAGATAAAATTGTTTTAATATATATAAGCGAATTTAGTGTTGGCCAACAAAATGTTTGGGATCACCATGTCACATGTATCTCATGAGTTTTAAATTAAATAGTCTGAAAAAAATGAACATGAGGTGGTAAATTAATGTGATTGGGTGAGATGAGGGCATATGAAACCAGCGAGAAAGGAATAATTGTGAAAGGGAATTTCTCCAGGAAATTTAGAATAGGAATCACTAGGAAGGGAGGGAGACGCAGGCTGTACAACATCCAACAGCCAACACAACAGCGAGCGGACTGGTTTGATGGAAATATTTGTTTTTTTTTTTATTTATAAAAGAATACAAATTTTTTGTTAACTTGCCGCCCAATATATCGCTGTCGGACTACCCCTGAGCCGACAGCTAGCCGGCTGAGCGATATATTGGTGCTTTCGACAGGCAAGGCATAACATATTTTAGATTTTCATTTACCATTTCAATAGAATTTGAAAATGTAGACCTCACCATTCAAATAGGTTGACGCTCGATAAATAACTTTGACCGATATATCGCATCTATTTAATTTGCACGACTGGCGTATTTTTACGCAATTGCCATGCGGTCACACTTATCCATTCACACACAGAGTAAAATAAAAAAGCGTGGAACTTGAGAACAGCCAAATCGTTTCCGAACTATATAAACATATTTATAAGAATTTGGGTGACGACATTGCAACAAAAAAAAAAGGCAAGCAGAGAAAAATAACAAATCAAAAAACGTGAATTTAACGTAAATGGTAAACTACGCACACAGCATGCTAAGCAAAGAGAGCAGGGTGTCGTCGCCAAAAAAGAGAACATCAAATTTGAAATTTGTTGCTGTAGTTGTGTAATATTTTGAAAAGTGCGAAATCAGCTAAACAACAACAAACAATGAAACATCGCCTGATATCTGTAATTTGTGTGTGTGTGTCTGACCGATACTGCGCTGCTCTATTTGTTAAGATCTGACAGCTAAACCGATTTGTTTAATTTGTTTATTTATTGCCATGCATATCTAATTTTTGGCATGAATACTCACACATCTTTTATTACTCTCTTCCAAATACTTCTAGGCGTTGAGTGAGAAAACCCAAACGAATTTCTCATGCGCAACAGAACAACAGAAACAGAGAAAAAACAAAAACAACAAACCCAAAGACATACATACAGAGTAGACAGTGATTTGGAAATTCAAAATTTTGTAATCAAACGAAAGCTTTGGAATTGGATTGGCAGCCGTATATCGTCGATAGCAAGCCCCTCGCTCAATAACAGCAAAATCAGCAAGAGCCGCTTTGAGCAAACAACATGAATTTACTGCTGCATCAGAAAGGATCAATGCAACTCAAATCGCATTACATCTTTCAGAATTTCTACAAGCGCAGTAAGTCTATTCCTCTCTCCCTCTCTCTCTCTCTCTCTCTCTCTCTCTCTCTGTCATTTTGTAAACACAAACTGAAGCCGAAAACTGGAGCGCAATATAAAAAACTTTCCATTGATTTTACCTCGTATTTTAGTGGCGTGTGCTTGTGTGTGTGGCTGCTTGCCTTGTGTGTATGTGTGTGCTTGCTGTGTGCGCGTGTCTTTTTTATCGCGCTTTTGTTTTGAATATGCGTCCACAGCTGATTTTGTGTTTCTTTCCACCTCGGCGTTCAGAATTTCCCTGTTGCGCTTATTTTGGTACTTTTTGCGCGTCGTAGAAAATTTCCCTGACTTCGTTTGGCAAGTGTAAATTTGATTAGCCTTCAGTTGCTGTTTATATTATGTATCAAATGAAATTTTCATAGTTATACCGGTTTTTTCTTTCGATTTGTTGTCGTTAACCGTAATTTGATTAAGAATTCTTTGTTTTTCTATCATATTTTTTACGATTGAATCAGCTTATCTTCTAGCTAAAAAAAATTAGATTGACCAATTATAAACATTTAAAACGTCTGAGTAACTCAAATGATAAGGCTTTGGTAAAAATTATACTTCGGTATATTTTGTCTGCAATAGAATCACGATTTTTTTTGGCGCTGTTTGCAAAACAAATTTGTATGACGAATTTGCTCACAGCTCAATTTAAACACACACAAACTAACTCAATGCTTATATGTGTGTATTTGTGTGAATAGCTAGAAAAAGGGACAAGTGCCAAGCGTACAGGTGCAAAGACAGACAAAATGACGCCAGCGATCAGAGCTGACGTAAAGAGTGAAACACAGAGAGAGTGAGAGAGAGACACCCTGTTGGCGTGTACAGTTAATGCACAGGGGTCACAGGCACCCACTCGATTCGGCCGAAGGTTAAATGCGTTTCACTTTCCCATTTTCAGCTGCGTTTTTCTTTTGCTCACTTTCCACTGTTCGTGATCTGTTCTCTTCTGTCTTGCCTTGAATTCATTTATTCGTTAAATTTGGATGTGTTCTGAACGCTTGCCAAATAAAAGGAAAACCCAAAAGCAAAACTAAAAGTGTATTAAGCACTTTCCCTGGGTCATCAAAAGTTGATTGCATTTTATTTATATTATTTGTATACTTTATATAAACATTGTTTTACATATGCTAGCAATCGCAACAGGTGTTAACTTTTTATACAATAGTTGTTTTACCTGAGAACTGAGACTGTCGGCTTATCATCATCAAGTGGAACAAACTTTTTTGTTGCTTATCACTTTTTGTGATTAAAAACATTTATTTGATTATTATTTTGTTTGTTGCTTGTACATTAAGCCGACAATTTGTAGATTGTGTAATGGTTTTTCTTTTGTTCTGGTTGTCTTTTGTCTTAATAAGTATACGAATATACATCATTCTGCCAAAAGTCTATATATATATATCTTAAATCATTTTCTTTATTTATATTAATGCGCTTCACTTTCCCTTTCAGATTTGAGAACGAGCAGTTATGCATCATACAAAGCAACGAGACAAGGACAGCAGAAGGCGGAAGCTTCAGCTCCTTCACAGTCATTGGACATGCGGCATAGGAGATTGTTCGGTGAACCCTCATTGATGATTAGCAGCGGCAGCAGTCCGCGTAATTATGTTTATTATCAATATCATTTTGCCGGCCATGGCTATCGACATATTCATGCGAGTCGCACGCTCTTTGAGTCCCCTTCGAAAATCGATGCGACCGTCAAGAAGCTAAAGAATCAGCAAAAGGAAAAGGTCGAGGAGATCATGAAGGAGGTGGCCAATGGCCAAGTCGCTGATAAAGTGAACAACACAGCGGCCTCAGTGAGCAGCGCCCATGTCGGCAAGGCGACCCTCGAAACAAGCGCAGGTTCAAGCGCAAAAGGCGAGGGAACTTCAACGGGTAGTGAATTAACGGAGACATCATCCAAAGCCTTGGTGAAGCCAAAGAAGCCACTGCAGCAACGCATTTGGGATGAGATCGTGCATTATTATCATGGCTTTCGCCTGCTCTTTATTGACACAGCGATTAGCTCAAAGCTCTTGTGGTCCGTCCTCAACGGAAAGACCCTGACGCGACGTGAGAATAAGCAACTGCAGAGGACGACATCGGATCTGTTCCGATTGATACCGTTCTCTGTGTTTATAATCGTTCCATTTATGGAGCTGCTGTTGCCGGTGTTTATTAAATTCTTTCCGGGCATGTTGCCGTCCACATTTCAAACGGCCAAGGATCGTCAGGAGCGCTTAAGGCAATCGCTGGCCGTGCGCCTCGAGGTTGCCAAATTTTTACAGAAGACCCTCGGACAAATGCCCGTTCAGCACGTGGAGCACTCCAGCGAGGAGGCCAAACAGTTTGAGGCATTCGTTCACAAAATTCGCGATCCCAACGAGACAGTGAGCAACGATGAGATCATCAAGTTTGCAAAGCGTTTCGACGATGAGATCACTCTCGATTCGCTCAGTCGCGAACAATTGGCGGCACTGTGTCGTGTCCTCGAGCTGAACACAATTGGCACCACAATGCTGCTGCGTTTCCAGCTGCGTCTCAAGCTGCGCTCCCTGGCCACCGATGATCGTGTCATCTCCCGCGAAGGCGTCGACTCCCTCGATCTCTTCGAGCTGCAGCAGGCGTGCAAGTCACGTGGCATGCGTGCCTATGGCCTAACAGCCGAGCGTCTACGCTTCCAGCTAAAAGAGTGGATCGACTTGTCGCTTAATGAACAGGTATATACAATCAACATAAATACGTTGATATGCATTATTTATATCTGATTTATTCCCTATAACTATTAATATTGCATCCAATCTTCTTTAGGTGCCGCCCACATTGCTGCTGCTATCGCGTGCGATGTTCATCTCGAATGACAGCATTACCACAGATAAGCTGAAGGAGACAATGCGCGTGCTGCCGGATGCGGTGGCTGCGCACACACGTCATGCGATTGGCGAGCGTGAGGGTAAGGTGGATAACAAGACGAAGATTGAGATCATCAAGGAGGAGGAGCGTAAGATTCGCGAGGAGCGCGAAGAGGAGCGCGAAGAGAAGATTGCCAGTCGGACGGTCAACAAGGAGGAGCTGGCAGCACCGTATGTCTTCATCGAGGAGGCTGCCAAGGTGCCGCATTTGATGGAGAAGGAGCTGGAGGTGAAGTCTGATGAGAAGACCATCTCACCGACGGATGTGCAGCTGCTTTCCGATGCTTTGAATACGCTCTCATCCGACAAACAGTTGGTTGTGGAGAAGGAGACGATTAAGGAGCTGAAGGAAGAGCTGCGCGACTACCAGGAGGATGTGGAGGAATTGCGCGAGGTGCGCCAAGTGGTTAAGGAGCCGGTGCGCGAGAGTCGAGCTGCCAAGCTTCTCTATAATCGTGTCAACAAAATGATCTCCCAATTGGATACCGTATTGGGCGATCTGGAGCAACGCCAGCAACAGATTAAGCAGGTGGATAGCACTGATGAAGTCGCAGACAGTGAAAACGTCAATCAAATGGTGCACATCGATGAACTGGTGGCCACCATCCGGCGCATGAGGGAGGCATCCGATGGAGAGCGTTTTAAGGTCGTCGAAGATTTGCTGGTCAAACTAGATGCCGACAAGGATGGCGCCGTTTCGGTAAATGAGATAACCAAGGTGGTGCAGAGCATCGACAGCACGGCCATTGATAAGAAACAGCTGGAGGAGTTCACCGAGCTGCTCACCAAGCAGGCGACGAAGAGTCGCCACGAGGAGCTTGTCCACATCGATGATCTCATGCTGAACATCAAGAAGCTGAAGGAGACTAGCGATGAGGCAAGGCTCAAGCACATCGAAAGTGTGCTGGACAAGTTTGATGCGGACAAGGATGGCGTCGTAACCGTTAACGAAATACGCAAGGTTTGTGTTCCTCATTTGTAACCATAACTGCAGAAAGCATAATGATTAAATAACTTACAGGTGCTGGAGTCCATTGGCCGGGATAACATCAAGCTGGGCGAGAAGGCGATTGAGGAGCTCATCACTCTGCTGGACAAGGAGCAGATTCTCGAGGCAGAGCAAAAGATTGAGAAAGCGATTGCGAAGAGCATGAAGGAGGCGGAAAAACTTAAAACGGACTTGGAGAAAACGGATAAGGATATGGCCAAGCTCGTTGATGGCATACACGATTCAGCGAAGGAGATAAGGGACATTGCCACCGATTTGGGCGCCTTGGATCGCGAGAGGGCCGCTCAGCAGAAGCTCGAAGTATGATTAATACACCATTTTAACAAAATCAAACTTTTGCTATAAATTATCTTTTGATTTTTACGTCAACAGGACGAGATGAAAGACAGTGCTAAATTGCTGAAGGACAATGCTAAGGAATTGCCCGATTTGTTGGCCAAAGGTCCGAAGGATAGCAAAAAGGGACCCGGATCGCCACCATCCTCGCCCGAAAATACTGATGGAGGTAGTAGCAGCAAAAGCAACACCAAGGGCAACACCAACAGCAACAGCAGTAGTGCCAGCGATGCGGACACCGATAAATCGACAAAGGCGGCGCTTCTCGAGGCAACCGAGCGTCACATCGAGAAGCTCCTGCCCCAAAACGACATCGGTCTGCCGCCAACGATACCCACACCATCAACAGCGGCCCAGCCGAAGGCAACTGCGGCGGCAAACGGGACGACCGGCGCATCCGCCGCCCCCAAGAAGCTCATCTGACCTGGCGAGCCGAAATGCAAAAGAGCGTTGACAAAGAAAAAACCAGAGAAAACACCTAGGACGAAATGAGCAAGCAGATGTTATAATTGCAATTAAATAGATAATTAATACCACAGACCTTTTAACTTGAATTTGCAATTCGATGATGTAGCAACTCTGTATTTGAATGCATCCTAGGCAGGTGGAGCTCCCTTACGCGAGGCTGTTTTAAGTATGTAAAGCAAAAAAAAAAAAAGAACGAAAAGAAACGGTGCACAAATCAAATACTATTTACTATTATACAAGAGAACAACAACCATCTGGGCTAATATCGTAACAACAAAAACTACCTTAATGAAATATTCAGTTTGTTTTCTACCGCCCTAGTTTTATCCGTATTTATATGTTTGAATGTATGTGCTGGTCAATCCAACTACTTGGCTCTACAATATGAGCGATTGTGATCATAAAGCGATATCTTAATTTACATTACATTTTTAATTATAATATCTAAACTATAACGATTTGAATTCAGTTGTAGTCTTTGCAGCAAAATCACAAAACGAAATTAAATGAAAATGCAAACAAAAAATCAACGTGATACTTTTTTAACAATAATAAAATTTATGCTAAACTGATTTAGATAACAATTTGTAAAAGTGTTTTCCAATAAGAAATAAAGTGGACAAGAAGCTAATATAAACCGAAAGTATTTTAATATTTATATGATTCTTGGATTGGCCACTGAAAATATTAACAAAACAATTTAATTTTTAGTCTGGTGTTTGTTATTTGTTACAGATTAGCCTGCAGATGTTTAATGAAAAACTGTTTGGCGTTGTCCACAGGGGAGAGTTCTCTAAGCAGAAAATCTAGTTTTACTTATTATTTTAAGACAAAAAATTCTCTTAGCGATACGATTGAACTGTACCTTTAATATAATAAAATTGAAAGCATTAATCGATGCGTTTTAATCTCGGAATGTAAGGATCCTTATATCATAAAAGTGTTTGGGTTCTGAGATGACCACATAATCCTCGAATGCTGAACGATATAAGTCGTCCTTGCCTAGTTTCAATTTGAAGTTGTATAAAAAAGCTTCAAAAAGGCCACTATCATTTTGAAAATAATCTATTGCGGCTATTTGTTTGTTTACATGCTAACCTAAACAATAATCTGTAAAGACCATCATTTTCCATTAACAAACAACATATGAAAAAAAGTGTTTTGTAGAAATAAAGTCATTGTTTATTTTATTTAATTGTTTATTTGCTTAATTGCTTAAAAACTGAAAATTCACAACACATTTACGTTATATACAGTATCATTACCAAAAGTAGCTTGACGTTAAGGCCAAAAGAGCCGGATCAACTTATCGTATAATTTATGCAGCGGATGCCAGGTGAAAACAGCTAGAACACAAGTGGCGAACACAGGCAACAGAAGCAATCACAGCAAGGACCAAATTGTGCTTAGCCAAACGGCTAAATAAGCCAAAAGGATTTCTGGCCATGATGAGCAAAGCATAGTCAACGAGAAAGGAAAAGGGGAACTAGATAGACTTGAGTATTAAGTGGGCAAACTCTAAAGAGTATTAAGTCAATGTCACAGGAAAAGTGGCCCAGATTCGATTTGGATTTTCGGTTACTTGTCGATACGACGAGCATTATGTAGTTTCCATTTTTGCTGTTCCGTTGCAAGCACTGCAATTCCAACTGTTTGCCGCGGCACGTGGGGAGTAGGACGTATGACGTAGGACGTAGGGCGTAGGGACATGCGACCCACATGCATATAAACCTTTCACAGCTGGCGACATATCAGCGTTTTTTTTATGGGCAATGTGCGGTGTTTGGTCCTGGTGCGCTTCCTGTGCACACAAGCAAGCAAACAAAGGGCTATAAAAACGGAGCCACAAATGCGCTTAAAGAAATATATGCTATGTTCTTATATGTAAGTGTGGCCTGGTTGCTATATCTCTGTATAATTCACTTTTTATTCACACACCAGAGCAAAAATTGAATATAAACATAAGTCCCAAACCACTAACAATACGGATTATCGTAGCACAAAAAGTATTAAAATTGGCACTTGTTGTTATGAATGCTCTAAAAGATTATAGACACAAGCTTAAGTCACTTAATAATACTGGCTTAACTGTAATACTTTTGTGCGCTAAACTTTTAAACTAAATTCTTAATGATGCACACAATCGCTTTCTTCAATTTGAAATGTCAGCCGCCTAAAATAATCGTTTGATTTCGATAAGTATCGATGCTTAACTAAACAGCGCCTTAACAGTTTCTTTTAAATTACTGAAGTCTGTTAGCCTTAACATACAGATTCTAGGCTTTTCAGATATTTTCGTTGAAAGCAGTTGTGTCTTGCGGCTTATTTTACCCATAATTAAAACTCCAGAAATTCAAAGTCTAACGGTAAATCAGTAAGAAATCAGTTATAATACATACAAAATAAGAAAAACTGTATCAATTACGTATGAAAAACCAGAGGAATTGTATTTTTTGTCGCTGTGCCTGTATTACGCGTTGTTTTTAATCTTTTTTTTTTTTAGGTATACACATATGTATACTATAAATACCTCTGAAAAGCCATTAAATATACGAATTCATTTTCTAATTGCTAAGCACATATTGAGATTTTTAGCAGTGTGAGTGATAGTGGAAATAGACATGTGCATGGCATTATATATACACATCTAAATTAATTATGTGTATAGTGTAAATCGAAATATTTGCACCGCTTACAGGAGTAGGTCAAATAATCAAGTTGTTGCACTTGTTTGCATATTTTTCTATATGCACCCATATACGGGCAGGTTTCGCAAATTCGATGAGATTACAGTTTGTGTTTTGTTGTATTTTAAGTACGATTGCCGATTGCCGGCTCTAAAGTATTATCTATATATTTATTGAAGTGCAGTTTAAAATGTAGTCAATTATAATAGCTGATAAAAACAAAAATAGCTGATCTTATTTATTATTAAATTGTTAATTAAATGTGCAGCTATGGCAAGCAGTCCAGCGCCGGTTAAAAAGGTACCCATCCACCTGCAAAGCGCCCAGAATCGCGTCTATATCAAAAATGGCGAAGTTGTCAATCATGATAAGTCTTTCAAAGCTGATGTTTACATAGAAGATGGCATCATTAAGTAAGTGACTTATGAAAAGTCCAAAAACTAACTACATTAACTCTAACTTTATTATATTCCCTCTTTAGATTTGTGGGACCAGCTGCTGATATAACGGTACCAGGTGGTGTGCGTGTTATCGATGCAAGTGGCAAACTAATTATGCCTGGTGGCATCGATCCACATACACACATGCAATTACCTTTTTGCAATGCAGTTGCCGTGGATGAGTAAGTATCTGCAGTTTTTATAGATATTTAACTGGGTTTCTTATTAAAACAGTTAATTTCCATTAGCTTTTATCATGGAACCAAAGCGGCTGTAGCTGGTGGCACTACTATGATAAGTGCGTATTTTCTAAAGTATATTTAGAGTCATCAAATCACATTTATTATTTGCCACTTAGTTGATTTTGTAATACCCAACAAAAACGAATCTATGATCGAGGCTTATGATACGTGGCGCAGTTGGGCTGATCCTAAGGTCTGCTGTGATTATGGCCTCCATGTGGGCATTACTTGGTGGTCCAAATCGGTATCGGATGAAATGGCCATACTTTGCAAAGAGCTTGGCATCAATTCGTTCAAAACATTTATGGCCTATAAGGGACTTTATCAGCTGAACGATTCTGATATGTTGGATGTTTTTGAGCGTATTCGAGGCTTGAATGCGGTAGCTATGGTAAGTGGCTATAAAAAGTACCAACTGTGATATATTATCTCTATCTATTTTCTCAGGTACATGCTGAAAATGGTGATATTATTGCCAAAAATGCAAAACGTTTGTTGGCCGAGGGCGTTACTGGTCCTGAAGGACACGAACTATCTCGGCAGGAGGAAGTGGAAGCGGAGGCCGTAAATCGTGCTTGTATTTTGGCTCATCAGGTGAGTTAAAGTATTATTAAAAATAATGTGGATATTGATAAATATCTGAATTGTAAAACTTGCTTGCAAGCTTAAAAAAATTAAATATATTATCCATGCGGTTTATTTATACATTTATTTATTGTTTACCAAGGTTGATTGTCCCCTTTATGTGGTCCACTGTATGAGCAAATCGGCTGGAATAGAAATATCTCGAGCCCGTCAACGCTACAGTGGAAAATATATTTTTGGTGAGACCCTCGCAGCGGCTCTGGGTACAGATGGCTCTCACTATCGCTGTCAGCATTTCGATCATGCGGCTGCTCATGTGCTGAGCCCTCCTCTGAGACCCGACAAGACAACTCCTGAGTTTCTGATGAAGTTGCTGGCTAGGTGAGTCGTACGCAGTAATAGCAATTGACTTAACTCTGACTAACTAAAGTTTGTTCCAATTTTATCTCTACTCAAACATAAAGCGTTCATTAACCTAACTTAAAATTGTTATAATATCCGTGCTCATGCCTCGTATATACTAGCAAATGTTGCACAGATGATGCCGCAGGTGTATTCAGCAAATCATTTGCAGTGCCAGCTTATAATTAAGCCCACCGCCAAGGATTGAATGTAGTCATTGGCGTCTTGAGTATGTTCACATATATTATTACTTACAATATTATCTCACCAACATTTTCGATAACAAACTAAATCTCAGTTCAAATTTAACTAATCCTATTTTTAATGAAACATATATTTATTAATAAGCCTTTTATTAGTCGAAATATATAATATATATTTCTTATTTATTTCTTAGCGATGATTTGCAGACGACAGGCAGTGACAATTGCACCTTCAACAAGAAACAAAAGGAACTTGGCTTGGGTGACTTTACAAAGATACCCAATGGTGTCAATGGCGTTGAAGATCGTATGTCTCTGGTCTGGGAGAGGGGTGTACATTCCGGTTTAATGGATCCCTGTAGATTCGTGGCCATAACAAGCACAAATGCAGCTAAAATATTTAATATTTATCCTCAAAAGGGACTCATTGGTAAGTTTAAGGAAATATAATATAATATAATTTAATTATAATTGTTTTTTATGAAAGACTTGTGATACTTTTAGGAAGAATATACTTGTTTCTAAAATTAATATAATATGTCTTTTATTCCTTTTTAGGTGTCGGTTCGGATGCTGATATTGTTATCTGGGATCCGAAGGCCTCACGCACCATTTCCAAGGATACCCATCATCATGCATGCGGTTTTAATATATTTGAGGTAACTTAACACATATATATCTTCAAGAATTATGATCGTATCTATATATCTATATACTAGGGCATGACTGTTCATGGTGTTCCTGACTTTGTATTGGTTCGTGGACGAATCTGTGTTGAGGATGGATCAGTTCGTGTTGCCGAGGGATTTGGACGATTTATATCCACACCGTTGAGGCCGTCGTTTGTTTATGATAGTATTGAGAGCAAAACGGAGTCCGAAGAGGGACAACAAGTCGAACAACAGAATGGCAATGTGGCCAAAAAGTTAGTCGAGATGGACTCCCACATAGTTACCCAAGAGCCACCCTCTACAATGTTCTCAAGCAACTCGACACCCAATTGCAATAACAACAACAGTAACGTTTCAAATGCTCGTGGACGCGTGGATGGTAAACGGGATCTGCAGGAATCATCCTTTTCCATAAGCGGTGAGTTATCATGTGCTTAAGTACCTTTTCTCTTAATGTTATCGCCTTTGAACTTTGCAGAGGAATTGGACAATTCAAACGTACGTTCATCCATTAAAGTTAAGAATCCACCTGGCGGAAAATCTTCTGGATTTTGGTAGATGGAAACTTACGGAAACGTTGCAAGCTACAGAAAAAGTTCAGTTTTCCTATTTAAATATTGTAACTTATTCATATATATGTATGTGAAATGTAAAACCCACTCCTAAATGATTTTTATAAATAAACCAAAATTGGACAGCGAATTTAACTCAAAAAAGATTGTTTTTATATTTTTAATGTGTTAGAACTTTACTACTATTTGAGACCTTAAAGTATGCTACAATATTTATTGTTGTTTGTTTAGCCAATACACCAACCACCTGTATGTTACTGGTGCGTGCACATGCTAATCTAAACAGCAACTTGAAAGCATGTAATCTTTAGCGTACCTAGGATAACTCATTATTTGTTGTAACTTGATTTGTTTCATCTTGTAGAAATTTTGTAGGGTGGTGTGCGGGTTATCATTGTATCATTCTCAATATGAAAATGTATTGACTGCATAAGTTGGATTCGATTCAAGCATAAATTCGATGGTATACATTCGATAACGCAACTGCAGATCTTTTATTTATGCAACTTACGAAACAACCGTTCTCTTCGGATGCATATACTTTTGGTGACAACATATATATATATTAGTCTTATGAGGTAATTTTGTTGAAAGACGTTGCGCGCTTCTCGGCTTAACACTAATTGTATTTGTTTTTCATATTCTTTAATCTAAGCCACTCTCCATATATAATTATATCATAAAATTCAGATATCTCTAAAAAAGCACATACATAAACACACGTGCTTTGTTTATCTTATACACTTAAGTAACAGTTCTCTCATTTTGCAATAAGCATACGCAATTTAGTATTCTAATCATAAATATCTTAAGCTTATCAGGCATTAAAACTCGCAGCAGTTCTCGGTGTTCTTTAGTCTAAAACACCTGTTATATATTGACATATCATAAAGAGTTTCCTCAAGTGTTTGGCATCTTATCTTAATTTTAGACCCACGTACAGTTCTTTTCAGATAGATAGTCTTTTGACATCAAGATATAAGGCCTAGTCTTTTTAGACACTTCTCTGAAACCAGTTGCGAATAAATATAATTAAAAGTTTTCTGCGGTCTGATAAACTTTTCTGAGGTAAGTCCAATTTTTTTCGATTCGCTTATATTCTTAAGTTAGAAAATGTTCTCCAGTTAGTTGTGGTAGCAGAATATATTTTCTATTCCATTTTTCTGATCTTAATTACAAAACATTTGAAAAAAGTTAGTAACAAAATTGGCATACAGACAAACAAATGCTAGCAAGTCATTAACGGAAACTCGATTCAAACAGAAATCATTGATGTAATATTTAATATTTAGCATCTTATTTTAATTTCAATTAAATTTACAGCTCAATTTTATTACCACAATGGCAAGCAATCCAGCGACCGTTAAGAAGGTGCAGAATCGCGTCTATATCAAAAATGGCGAAGTTGTCAATCATGATAAGTCCTTCAAAGCTGACGTTTACATTGAGGATGGCATCATTAAGTAAGTGATTTTCGTAATATCAAAAAAATATCTGCATTATCTCAAACTCTATTATATTCCCACTTTAGATTCGTGGGACCCGCATCTGATATAAAGGTACCAGGTGATGTGCGTGTTATCGATGCAAGTGGCAAACTAGTTATGCCTGGTGGCATTGATCCACACACGCATTTGCAGACACCATTTGATGATGCAACTACCGTTGATGAGTGAGTATCTTAAGATTTCATTGTAAGTTTCTAATTAATTAATTTCCTTTTGTTCAGTTTTTATCATGGAACCAGAGCAGCAGTAGCTGGTGGCACTACTATGATAAGTGGGTATTTTCTAAAGTGTTTTTAAATACATACAATAATATCTTTTGTTACGTGCTTAGTTGACTTTGTGTTGCCTAAAAAAAAACAATCTATGATCGAGGCTTATGATTCGTGGCGCAGTTGGGCTGATCCTAAGGTCTGCTGTGATTATGGCCTCCATGTGGCTATCTCTTGGTGGTCCGAATCGGTATCGGATGAAATGAGCATACTCTGCAAAGAACGGGGTATCAATTCGTTTAAAACATATATGGCTTATAAGGGAGTTTATCAGCTGAACGATTCGGAACTTCTGGATGCATTTGAGCATATTCGAAGCTTGAACGCCCTTGCCATGGTGGGTTACTAAAAACTGTGTCTATTAAGGTTATTAAGTAATATATTTTTTGCTTATTTCTCAGGTTCATGCTGAAAATGGCGATATTATTGCCAAGAATGAGAAACGTTTGTTAGCCGAGGGCGTTACTGGTCCTGAAGGACATGAACTGTCTCGACAGGAGGAAGTGGAGGCGGAGGCCGTAAATCGTGCCTGTATTTTGGCTCATCAGGTCAGTGAATGAACCATTATCCATACATATTACTAACATTCCCACGGATCACATGTGTATTATTATATGTATACACATTTAAATATATTTTTAATTTTTTCTTAATATATCCAAGGTTGTTTGCCCGCTGTATGTGGTCCATTGTATGAGCAAATCGGCTGGAATTGAAATATCTCGAGCCCGTCAACGGTATAATGGAAAATATATATTTGGTGAGACAGTCGCGGCTGCTCTGGGTACAGATGGCACCCACTATCACTGCCACGATTTCCATCATGCAGCTGCTCATGTGATGAGCCCTCCTCTAAGACCCGACCCGACAACTAAGGAGTTCCTGATCAAGTTGCTGGCTACGTGAGTCGAACGAAGTACTATCAATTGACTTAACACTGACTAACAAATATTTGTGTCATATTTATCTCTACTTAAATCCAAAGCGATTCTCTGCAGACGACAGGCAGCGATAATTGCACCTTCAACAAGATACATAAGGAACTTGGCTTGGGTAACTTTACAAAAATACCCAATGGCATCAATGGCGTTGAAGATCGTATGTCCCTGGTCTGGGAGAAGGGTGTACATTCCGGTTTAATGGATCCCTGTAGATTCGTGACCATAACAAGCGCAAATGCAGCTAAAATATTTAATATTTATCCTCAAAAGGGACACATTGGTAAGTTTTAAGAAATATAATATGTACGAGTATAGCATAATTTTTCCTTTATTATTTTTAGGTGTCGGTTCGGATGCTGATGTTGTTGTCTGGGATCCAAAGGCCTCACGCACCATTTCCAAGGACACCCATCATCATGCATGCGATTTTAATATATTTGAGGTATCTTAACACATATATATTTTCAAGAATACTATCGTCACATTATCGCATCTATATACCAGGGTCTGACTGTTCATGGTGTACCTGACTATGTATTGGTTCGTGGACGAATCTGTGTCGAGAATGGATCTGTTCGTGCTGTTGAGGGACTTGGACGTTTTATATCCACACCAGTTAAGTCACCTTTCGTTTATGACAGTATTGAGCTAGATGAGCGACAAAAAGTCAAACAACACTCTCATATCTAATGGCAAAAACAAGAATGATGCCTTAACTGCTCGCGTTGATGGTAAATGGGACCTGTAGGAATCAATATTTGCCATAAGTGGTGAGTCCAGATACATATGATTAAATATATTTGTTTATAATGGTATCTCTCTTGAACTTTGCAGAGGAATTTGGAAACCGTCTTTTGATCCTTTTGCTTTTAATAAAAATAAATTCTATGTACATAAAATCTAAAGACTTTACTACTCGTGATTTTATATGTCAATGTCAAATCAACCATGTCTAGAAATCAAAATAAACAAGTTACATCCAAATTTTTAAGTACACTCAGCAGTGCTGACACCAAGTCCAACAATCCAACAAAGTTAACAGATAGATCGTCAATTCCACAGAGTCCACAGAAATCGATAGAGGAAACCTCAACCAAGTCAAGGTCGACTCCCCAGTTTAAAGGCAGGTCAATTGAAAATATATCGTCGAGACTGCGAGCTGGAGCTGCTACACTACCCAGAACTATTCAGACCTATAATGTGATATGCAGACGCATTCATCGGCCCTCCGCCTCCAAAAATTTTGACTACCATTTATCTGTGGAGGAAACACATTGCTTTAACGACGGCAACAAACCCATGAAATGTGTGCCTGCTGCTGAGCTACAGCTAATACAAAGTGGCCAGCGTGCCACATACTTGAAAACCCGTTATGAGCATATTCCGGATACTAAATACAACTATCCGGAGTCAACCAATTGGCGATACGGTTGGATCCATCCCCATTATGCAGCCAAGTAAGATTGGGCTTTATAACTTCTATGTTAATGCCAGGCTACTACCTTATTCTACTTTTCGCTTATCGATATGATTGCCACAGATAAGTCGGCAACATATTCAGCATTTCCCTAAAAATAGTAAAATACATTTAAGAATCAACTTTAAGAAGCTCGCTAAGATTTTTATAGATTTGTTTGCCAGCCTCGTCGCTCGTCTGATTGCCAAAGCAACAACTATAAATTGGACTAAGCCCATTAGGACACAGCCTTCCATCCCCTGCCCGTACTTCTTGACTCCTCAAGTTGGTGTCTGCGTTTATTTTTTAATATGCGTGTTGTGTATTGTATTTTGTGCTCGTGGTGCGTCTGGCATTTAAAGTGATCCACAATCTAACTTTGCGCAACTTATTGCAAGTGGTTGCTGCAGCCTTTTGATTGACTCATGAAAGTCGGAAAGTTTTTAATTGTTTTATAACATTTTCTCATAGAACGTTTGAGTTGCATTTAATTCTCTTCGTAAAGACAAGTGCAGCTTTATTTAATTGTGATGGTTGAGCGTCTCCGTATGGTGGCTATTCGGTCTATCCACATTATTGAGTAGAACCACTTTGAATTTGTTCCTTTTTTGTCGTCCTTGTTGATTGTCTGCAATTCATGGCATCTTTCGAATTTCATTGTTGCATTCCCAGCACTTTTAGCTGGACAAACTTAGTCCATCGCTCCATCCACTTACACAGACAGTTGGTAAAACTACTTGGAGTCATCCTTCTAAGCAGTCGCCTCTGTCGTATCCGCCGTCTGTTCCACCTCCGTTCCGTTGTTCTTGCTGAGTTTTGCTTGATTGCAAACAACAATTCTCACTGGGCCCGCAGCTCCCGATGGTGCCAGAAGTTTATTATTATTATTTAGCTTGTTTCACATTTTTCATGCTGTTATTTACCTTTAAACACATTTTGCTTAAGTCTTATTTGTTGCATCGTTTCGAGTTTTATTTGTATTTGATATCATCGATGGCCAAAACTCGGCTATCCAATATTTACACAGTTCCTTAGCTCGGTTCACGGCCCCTTGGGCATGCCATTGATAAATGAAAGAACTTTGGGCAACAAATATCCATTGAACTGGTAAATGAAGTTAGATCTCGCGAAGATATAGCTTTTTGAACTTGTCGAAGTCTATTGAATGGATATCGGGTCACAATTGATTCGAATATTGTTAAGAATTTTTAAAAATTTCTTTGTTATTTTTGATGAAAAATCATGACAATTGCGACCAATACTTTAAGCTTATTTATTTGCAATATGAAAATTGACTAATCGAAAAATGTTCGAAATTGCTTAACTGAATTAAAATTGTTTTGCAGATTGGTAAAGGATAATAAACACAACATTTTAAAAGCAAAACATATTTTTTGCATTATTGCCGCCCATTTTCTATGCTCCGTTTCCAAATTCCATGCCAATTCCGGGGGCAATTGCATTTCTCGAGTAAAATTTCACGAGAATTTATGGTTCAGTGGCTTAGCCGCATGGAGTTCTAAAGTTTTTGCACACTTTGTGGTAACATTTATTTGTTTTGCAGCCCAGCGGTATGCATGATGCCCAAACTGTGTTGTTTATCCGGGTTTTCTCCATTTTTTATTTATCCTTTTTTGGCAATTGCTCAAAACTTATTCGTTTAAATTGTATTCATAATTCTGTTCGCCGGTTGTAAAGTGTGGTTTTTGCGGTTGCCAGGAGAGAGAATCAGAGAAAATTGATTTACTTTAAGTTAACTAATATTAACCGAATCTTTGCTCGTATTTTTCCATTTACTTAATTAATTTTTTTTTCTTCATATTTTTGTAATTTCTTTTACTTTCTCTTCTTATCGCAGTTGTTCGATTTAATTTGAGATGGGCCATTTGAGAGATGCAACTGATGCAACAGCTGCACTCAGAATTTGCTTTCTTTTTTCTTCTCCGGGTTGAGCTAAGATACTTCCATTTTCATTTTAAATTCCATTTGCGATTTTTCACATTTTTTCATTTTCAGGCGACATTTTTATCTATCAATAGCCGCGTAGCTATTTGACATTAATTTGCGCGTCATTTGTCGCCATTTGGCTTTTAGTTCGCATCTCAATAACGCAAATAACGGTTCGCGTCTGCCTGACTGATTGCATGCTGAATGAACTGCACTGCGTTGCACTTTACGCCAAATTGGTTGCACTTTACCGTCGAGTGTTGGAGTTGGAGTCGTAGTTGGAGTTTTATTTAAGCGCACCGTTAAGTGCATTTCTTTTAGTTTAAGCTTTTAGTCGGTGTGTTGGGCAAAAGCCTGGCAATGACAATTGATTGACTGAGAGAAAAGAAGAAATTTTGATTCAACGGACAATTAAAGGATTGGAACAACAATTAAATGCCAACTTTAACATATTTTTACTAATCACTATTGAGATGTGACTAACAGTAAGCTGATTGAAACAAAGCTGACCAAGTCAGCACCTTAACTAAATACAGACTCCGTTTACTGCCGAATTGAATAAATATTTGCAGCTCTTATTAGATTGGGGTATTAGTATGGAGCTTGAGCACACGTAATGAATAACTTTGATAGTTGGTGTCCAACTTGGGGGCAGTTAGCATATTACAGATACATGTCTAGATATTGTGTGCTTTGGTCTTCTGTTCCTTATATAGAGGCTGACTGCAGAGCTGCTTCTTTTGGGGAATTCATCACGTTTGTGTTCGTCAAGTTTAGCGAACGTCGGCGGTTCTTTTATAAACACTCAACGACTTAATAACTGGAAAGTGGATAAGTTCGTTGACACTAAATGGCACTTTAGGGGCAGCTAAGAGACCAGAGAGAGTGAGAGAGAGTGGGAGGAGGAGAAGGGCGAGATCTGAATGCAGAGCAAAGTCAACAATGCTGAGCGTCGCTCGGCTTATTAAAAGGGCTCAGGTGAAATGTCTGGGAGCCATTTCTGCAAGAGCTGGTGAATCTGAATCAGTGTCCGCCTTGCTATGTTTACTTAAGCGGGACACACATACACATACACTGACACTCACACTGACACTCACACACATGCATACACACACACATTTAAAGATTGTCAGGCTGTGTCTGTTGCCCGGGTGATTGTCGCGATGACAGCAACTGCTTGAGACCTGTCCGTGTCTCGCCCTGCTGATGTCCATGTATATGACTACTACTCTTGCTGTATATACATAATATGTTGGTTTTTGGTGTTGGTTGCTCGATTCGATAAGCGTTGCTTTGCATGCTCAAAGGTCATTTGCATTTTGACCTCGTCAGCTGTTTTTTTTTTAATTCTAGCTAAAACGCCTTTAATAGCTTTGGTTTGCTTTAAATAAATGATGAGGGATATTGAATGAAATTGATGAAAACATTTAATTAAATTAATTTAGCTTAAATCTACCTAAATTGTGAATGTGAGATGTGCCATTCAAATTAAATATATATATGCTGCATGGCTACCTTCAGCTAATTGGTTAATATTATTAAACATAAGTTTACTTTACATAAATTCGCTGGTTAACATTCCTTTCGCATTAAGTGTTGGAACATCTGATAAGTTTCCCGCGATAGACTTGCAATTAATAATCAAACTTGTACATATGTTCGACATGTGAGACAAATAACATGCGACCTTAGCTGCAGGGTATGTGGTTGGTTAAGTAAATGGCAAATGCTTAACTACCACTTACCGTTTACAGCTTCACAGTGCTGATCATTAATTTCCAGACACAACAGAAACTGGAGCTGGAGATGGGGGCATCTAAAAAGCGCTCGAAACAATACTCGAAATCGTGTTTATTCACTGTAGCACTCTTAACTTTTATTGGTCTTTAGCCACGTTGGTCTTAACAGCGGCCACGGCACACAACGATGCTACGCTGTAGGGCAGGGGGATGGGCGGGGGCGGGATGCGGTGCTGTACGAGCTGTAAGAAAAACAACATTGAACACCATTTGCCGCTACAAATTAAGCTTCGAGCAAACAAATCGCGTTGAGTTTTCCCCAAGACTTTTCACATTTCCCTGCTGTTTGTTCATGTTGTTGCCTTGTTTTATGTCTTGTCTGCTTCCAACACCGCCCCCTACCCGCTCCCTCATTTACTGCTGCCCTGTGGCAATTTTGTGTTGATAGAAAGAGGAATATTTTCGACAAAATTCGATGTATTCGACTTGTATTTGTGGGGCATGCTGCTTAATCAGATGCTATTGGCAAGTCCTCGCTGCGTATACTTACTTTCAGTTACTTCTTTGTTTTTTCTTATACCTATATATATATATATATGTATATATGTATAGATTGCCTGCGGGGTGCTGTGGAGTGGGAGGTTTGAGTACTGCTAATTAAGCTATGACTGAGAAATGTTTATTTAAATTGCATAGTGGGTTCTATTAAGTGATTAACATTTGAGTCTTGAGAATAATTTGTGTGTATTTTGCAACAAATTAATTACTTAAATGTACTCAAATGCTGAAAGTTTGTTTGTTTGTACTAGCACATGAACACTTCAACAGTTCTATACTTATAAACGTGACATGGAAATTGCAGATGAACTTGGAGACTTCTTGCCAATTAAAAGTTTTCTGGACTGACTACATTTAAAATGGAATTGAATACCTTTCAAAAATTTGATAAGTAAATGATTAATTGCAAGCACCTTGTATTTATGAGTCTTTATTTAAATTTCAAATATATCAAAAGGTTACAAATTTAAATCCATTATTCGATTTATTTCTTTAATTGAATTTTAAATTATTTCCTCCGATAAAGTAAATATTGGAATAACTCAGTTGTTAATGGATATGAAGATTTTAACGCTTATTCAATTACAGCCTCAACGCAAAATCATAAATTTAGCTTGTTAATCAAAATGTATTTGTTGACACTTAATTGATTTTTTATCATTAATTATTTCTTGGAATTTTAATAATATATTTTTAATTTGACTAGTAGTTTACTCGCGTCGAAATTCCGTTTTGAGTGTCAAAGTGAATTTAATTATGCATTTAACATATTTTATTAAATGGAAAAGCCGCTGGCAAATTTAAACTATATTGAAATTATTTAAATTAATTATATTGTTATTGAATTCAATTTATATTCCCTTAGATAAAAATGTCAATTTATACATTTCTTTTGGAACGTGTTTGCTGATTGGATATTTCACGAGGTGAAGCGTTGGGGATGTCCAGACATCAACGCGAGAACAAAATTGGCACGTGTTTAATCCTACTAAGTATGCTGCCAAAACTTTGGATACTGGTCAGAAGGACTTCAGCACACGGTTGTCATAAAATGTTGAATATATATATATATATATATATATATATATATTTAATGTGGACAGCATGCTTGCAGAATACTAAACATTATCAGGATGGTCGGCCGGAAAACTCCTTTGGGAGAGCGGTGTGATGCGGGGCGGGATCATAAACACATTAGCAAAATGAAGCTGTTTCGATTACAATGCTAGAGATTTGCTCTATTGTTATCATTTTTGTTGTTGTGTGGCACTAAATGTGACATGATGACACAATTTGGTTAGCAGCTGATTTGCGCCTAGAAATGGGCTGCAAATGTTTATCTTTTTTTTTGTTGCCAGGTGTGGAAATTTAGTGAATATAAATCTTCGAGATAAAAATGGAATTGCCAGTGGTTTTGTAAGCTGTTTCATTGCTTTTTTTTCCTGATTATAAATACATTTATAATTTTAACTCTCAATAATCTCTTTTCCGAGCACAATAATACTTTCAAAGTCGGTCTGGCATTTGAAATCATATCTTTCCTTATTGTAGACACACAACTTCAACAAAGTAAGACTTTAAAAATTCAAAACAAATGTAAAATTGTATCCATATACGTTAGATAAATCTATAATTTTTACAATGCCCGGCGGTTATGATGGAGCTGTTACATTATTTTCGCCAGCTGGTTATTTGCAGCAAGTGGAGTACGCTCAACAGGCGGTGCAGAGAGGCTCTACTGTGGTAAATTACCATATTTATCTGTTTTTATTTTAATTTACTCTTTCTACTTTACTGTGCAGGTAGCACTGCGCACCAAAGATTGCATTGTGATGGGCGTGGAAAAGAGGGCCGTAGAGCCACTGCAAATAGAGCGTACAGTGAGGAAAATTATAAAACTAGACGATCATCTGGTGATAACCTTTGCGGGTCTAACTGCTGATGCTCGCATCCTGGTGAAACGGGCCCAGGAAGAGGCGCAGAATCATCGACGGAACTTTGAGCGGCCCGCATCTGTGGAGTACATTACACGGTGAGTTATCCTCTGATCTTTCAACGGAACTATATTCAACATGTTCTAAGAACGTTGTATTAGTATTATTATGAGTTAAGTTTGATATATATATCTCAAATAACAATTCCGAATAGTTTTATGGCAAGACTGAAACAGCATTACACGCAGAGCAATGGGCGGCGTCCATTTGGTGTCTCCTGCCTCATTGGTGGCTTCGATATGGATGGCCAGCCGCATCTGTATCAGACCGAACCATCGGGCATCTACTATGAGTGGTCGGCGAATACGACGGGTCGCCTCGGCAAGACTGTGCGTGAGCATCTGGAGAACAACTCTGCTGAAATAGCCAGTGTGTCGGATGAAGCCGCTGCCATTAAGCAAGTGGTGCGCACTTTGGTCATGTCGACCGGTTTGGATGCCAGTTTCTATGAACTGGCTGTGCTGCAGCATAAACAGCCGTTGCAGGTGGTTAGTCCCTCGACGGTGGCTCACCTGGTGCAGGTCATCAAGCGTGAGAATGCGGACAAGGAGGCGAGATTGAAACAGCAGCTTACCAGAGGAACATAAACCAAACATATATATTAATTTTTTTCTTGTTAAGTTCATTTTGCAATATATATCTATATAGGATAAATATATTTATTATCTTTTCGTGTTAAATTCACATTTGCCAGCGGCACAATTTTTAACCTTTCGGCTCGATGAAAACTTAATAACATTTTTTTGTCTCTTTCTCAGCAATTTAATTTGAACCTCTGCCCCGACAAAAGTAATCAGCACGAAAAGTGTGTAAAGTGAGCAAATCACTTAATTTGCCTCAAGGGCATCTTTATGTACAACAGAGTTTTCAAAACGCCGCAATCACTCAATCCCGTCCCGGCAAGTAGACGTCCTGGCTTGCCCTTTGTGATGGCCAGGAAAAAAAAGCGAGTTAAGAACTTTTAAGTGAAAATGGAAATTGAATTTGCGTCGAAGTTGCATACTTGCACACACACACACAAAGACACATGAGTAGCTTGTGGCATGTTGTATTTTTTGCTGCCTTCGATATTTACAGATTTGTATCCCAAGTGCCATTTGTGCAGAGGTTTTCTTGTTTGTTTAGTGTGGGGGCAAGTGTTTCAATCAAATGTGCGCCTTGGGTAATGCCTCGCCTCGTCCTGAACAGAGCCCTCCAGTACGTTGATGAAAGCTATCAGGTAACACAGCCTCCCCATACCAAATACTTAGCCACATACATAAGTGTATTTTCTTGACTTGAGAAAACAATTTGTAAACTGTGATTTTTGTTGCCCAATCTGTAAATATTTTGCTGGGTTATTGGAAATTCCGTGATGGTCTTCCGTGTTATTATTTATTTTTGCCTGCTTCATAGTTCTGGCTGGCTTATCAGGCTTAAAATAATTTAGATACTTTTTAATTAAGAGTTCTGAAAATGGGCTGAACAAGTGTTCCAAGAAGGCAAATACAAAAAAGGTTATAATCCCATTTTTCGACTAATTTTTATAACATTCCAGTTAGATATAATTTGTAAAAAGAATAATTTACTCAGCACATGCTATGAATTTTTGAATCTTTAATAATGTTAATTTATTTGTAATGTTGTCAAAGTAAAATTATGAGTGTTTCCTCATACTATTGGCAATTTCTTGAAGCTAGTCATGCCCGCCTGCATAATCTCATCGGTGAGGAGCAAATTGCACGCAATGACGGAGCACGAGTTGAGTATCAATTTCTTCACGCAGTAATTGTCGAAGATGCGTTCATCCTGTGGATGCATTGATTCACCCGTAATTAAATCCAGTCCGATTAACTTCTTGCTTTCTTTGGCTGCCGTTGTCAGCTTCACAATGGTGTCCTGCACATCGAAACCACTGTTGATGGCCAATGTTTTGGGTATGATGAGCAGAGAGTCGGCAAACAATTGCACACCCAGCTGAGCCTTCCCCATAACCAACTCTTTGAACTTGACCAGCTCATTGAAAGCGTGCAACTCAAAGGCTCCTGCACCGGGCACCAAAAGGCCATCTTCAATGGTATTCTGTATGGCATGAAGTCCATCCCGAATGGCATCCCTCATGGTGTTCGTTTGATGACCAGTCGGAGCTCGAATTAGAATTGTCACCGAAGTGGGATTGCGACACTGCTTTACAAAAGTATACTTCGTTTCGCCCACATGCTCTTCGTACACCAATCCAGCATAGCCCAAATGCTCCTCACCTAGATCTTCCAGGGAATTCAGGGCATCTCCGCCACAGGCTCGAATCAAACGCTCCAAATTCGCTCTCTTGGCACGGCGCAGGGCGAGAATGCCTGCTGCCGAGAGTGCCTCCAGTGAGGGAATATCGATGCCCTTCTGGTTGATGACAACAAAACCCCGTTGATTATCTGTGCACAGTTTGCGCTTCAGCTCGATAATCTTCGCAACACGCAGATCAATGAAACGATGCTCTTCCGCCACGCATTTTTCACAATTCTCAGCTTTGTTGTAACAGAAACTGGAGTTCACGTTGGTCTTCTCCAGCTCCAAGGACACATTGCATGTGAGTATATAAACATTTGTCAAATAGTTTGGCATATTAGCATGTCTCCCACCATGATCCAGTACTAATCCATCTACCAGCTCTGTGTCCATCGTTGTGTACTGTCTCATATCCATGAGCTCAATCATATTCAGATCTAATAGATGGCTCCCATCGGGACGAATGGCCAGCACGGCATCCACACAAATGTTGGCCAGCAAATCCGCCAGACTCGCATCCACTTTGGTCCTCAAACTACTCTGTGCGATAGCCAGAAGTATATCCCTCTCAATCTGCACAGGTACGCAGACCGATTGCAGCAGCTTGATGGCCTTATCCTTGGCACGCATGATACCATCGGTGAGCAGTCGGGGATGCAGTCCCTCCGCTATCAGCAGCTCTGCCTGCTTGAGCAGCTCACCAATCAGCACCACAGTCGATGTGGTGCCATCGCCAGTGGCAGCGTCCTGGGCGGTGCTTGCACGGGCAATCATTGCTGCCGTTGGATGAGAAAAGCTCATCTCATGCAGAAGCACATTACCATCCTTTGTGATCTTAATGTCACCAGCCGGCGAGATGAGCATCTTAGTGGTACCCTTAGGTCCCAGATTGGTGGCCATCAGGCGCTGCAGACCCATTGCTCCCGTGATGTTGATGGCTAACGCTTGTGCGGCACGAGCTATCTCAGCCTTTGGATTTAAAAGACTGATACTTGCCATTGTTTTTTTATATTTTCAAACTTTTTATTTACTTTTACTTGAAGTTTTTGATCTGAAAACGATTTAATGTAAATCAGCGCAGAATTTCAAAGCAAATGAAAATGAACAATAAATCAGCGCATGCTTACTTTTTATATAAAATATTATTTATGACGTTTGTTAAACACAAAAATTAGTCAATCGAATAATGCGATAGTTATGTTGGTTGATTAACAGCTTTTACTTAAACAAATTGCCAATGTATTTCTATCATTGACGTCAAATTAAATATTGTGCAGCGCTTTATAAAAATCTCTGCTGCTGTCTACTGATTTCCAATCATAATTTTATTGCAGCAAGTTGCAATTCATAGAACTGTTTTTACAGGAGTCGAGCGTACTGTGTGGGGTCCTGTGGTTCTCTTTGCCAAACCAATAAGTCATGCCTTTATTAATATTTACAGGCTTCCTACGTCGCCCACTTTTAAGTCCCTGCCACTTGCCACTCGAGGGTCCTGAGCTGCTGTGCACTGCTCTTGCTGCTGCTCCATATACCCAAAGCGGCTTTTTGTTGCTCATTTTGCTTTGCCAGCTTTTGCAGCATTTTCTGTTCGGCCCTCCTGCCTCAGCATTCTGTACTTTTCACACTTAATTTCATTAAGTAATTTTTTATACTGCAACTTTTATTGAGTTTTAAACTGGCAGAGCGCATAATGCGAGAGCCAAAGCATGGGATGTGAAACAGGCAGAGAAAGAGACAGCTAGACAGGGAGGAAGGGAGACAGCAAGTGTCTCATTTTGTTTAATATTACAATTGAGCTGTTGTGCTTGTTGCTGACTTTATAGCGCATACGCCATGTGTTTTCCAACTTTTGGCATTGTTCTATGCTGTTTTTTGCTTTGTTCCATTTGCTTTTGTCCCTGCAGCAGTTTCCCGTTTGCATTTTACTCATCTTACGCCCCTTTGTGTGTTGCCACTTGTTGCACTCACTTTTGTATTTGAATTGGTTTTTGTTTTGTTGTTCGTCTTCTTTCTTTTGGTTTCGGTGTCACTTGGCTTTCTTTACGTTTATTCATTATTTAAGGGTTTTTTCAATCAAACAATTCGCATTGTTCTCTTAATTTATTTCAGGACTTTGAAAGCAATCAAATAAATTAAAAAGTTTATTTCTTGGTCAAGTTATGTGAGCACTTGAGTAATTGCTTGAATACTTATTATTATTTGTGCAAATAAGCAGTCTTTCTAGTACAAAGGACTTAAAATGTAGATAATTGATGTGTACACAAATTATGCAATATGCTAAACCAATATATATGCCATAACAATGTCAAAGATTTTACAAAATACAAAATATATGTAATTTTTTTTTAAATCTAAAACTGAATGCAACGGTTCGGAATTTTCCCGATGTAATCCTTGTCGAGTAAAAAAGAATGTGACATTTTTGATATTCTGCATCTATAAAATTATTGAAAAGGGTAGCATAAAGTTGTGAATGAACATGCAGTGTCAAGGTTGAAAAAGTCTACAATTTTATAAATATACATTTATATATAAATAAATTTTCATTTTAAACACTAAATCTTTGTATTTCGTTTTAGTTATATTTGAGTTGCTTTACAGAGCATACCCCACTCATGCACTGCAGTCCAGCTGTGCATTCTGTTGTTATGATTGCGAATTGAAATTGAATTTTAGAGATTCCCAAAAACAAAGGGAACGGTTTTCTGCATTGAGGTCTCTTTTTTAATCAACGAAAAAGAAAGATATTTGAGAGTTGTATTTCCATGCAAATACAAAAAATATTCGATTTATGCCTCACCAACCCTTAGGCATCGTTTTTTGTGCACTGCCTCCATCCAATATTTACAATTTCAGTTGGTTCTGTTGCCAAATATTAGTTTCAGTAGTTGGAAAGATTTTGTTTTCTTTAGAGTTAGGAACACGAATCTGATAGACTTTATGATGAGAGCACTTGTAAAACTGATTGCATAAATAATATTAATTGCTTAAATTAACCATTAGCTCTGGTTACAGTTTATAATTAGGCCATGATTTAAATACTTCAATTTCCATCGAAAACCCTTTGACGAGTAGGCTTCACTTAGGTCAAGTTTTTGACGACTTTTGGAGTAGGAGTGTCGAGTGCCTAGGATGGTCCCTCAATACAATTGGCGGCTGACCAATCAGCGATTTATAGCAACCGCTGCAAATGAGTTAAGTTAACTTTGTCGGCTTGGGCAAACTTTTCATAACTTTGTCCAGAAGATGCGGACCGTTGCGTTAATTGGAGCTGTGGGCTTCACTAAACGCCAAAGCACCACAGAATATAAAGTTTAACAGCGGTTGATTAACCCCTCGGGATAAAAAAAAAAGAATTGACCAGAAAGGAAAGCGCAGCCGTAATTATCTTCATGAGATTCGCCTTGGCATCCTTTAAGTCGAAGGTGACCCGCAACGCTTCTAGCTGGGGTTCATCAACCGTTGCGTTGGGTTAAATTAAGTTATGTGCAGTGGAACGAAACGCTTGACATGTCTTCCCACTAATAAGCTAAATGAAAACCAAAATGTCCGTCAAGTCACTCGCAAATTGTCGACAAAGTAACCTAATAACTTTGCCCACACAATAATTGGAATTTATGACTCATTCTTCTTCTACACTGCAGACGGCCAGCTCTGGACTTTGGTAGTGTGATAAACAAAGAGCGTAAGTAACACCAATGCAAGGGTTGTGGACTCCCAGATCCCATCCACCTAGGGTGTGTCCTTTCGAGTGGCTACCAAATAGCCAAGTAAAGTGGCAACTGAGACATGAAAAAAAAGGGAACAACTTTGAGTCAAGTTTAAGTGCTTTTAAAAAAACCATTAACGTCATTTCCTGTGCTGTCTGTGAGTCGACTTCGACGAGTGGTAAAAAAAAGACACCACAGCTTAAAGGTCGATTTCATATTTACTGATAGCTGAGGATAGAGATAAATGTACATTAGAAACGCAAACTTTGAACTTAAATCAGAAGATGCTTGAGATTTTTCGATTAATTGACTTCGAAATTCCTATTGAACGGATTTTACACTCGGTTGACTTCGGAATTTTGATTGAACTGATATTCGGATAATTTGACTGATCTCCCATAGCTTTGCATTGTGGCTGAGGTTTTGAAGTCCAATATTGAGTTAAGTCAGTATTTCTAGCGATCCGCTTTTGAGCAGTGAAAGCTGCTGCGGATTGTTTTCCACCCGAAACTCTTTTGGAATTGGCTAAGTATTGGTTTGATTCTGTCTTGGGCACCGTCGTCAAATCCTTCACGAATGATTTACTATCTACGGCTGTTTTCGGCTTAACGCTTCTTAAACTTGAACAGGGCTCACTTGATTGATACTGCTCGCCTGGCTGCATAACTTCCATAATACTTGGACAAAGGCAATGAGGAGTGTTTCCTTCACATTGCTTGCATGGTGGCTTTGGTTGCGCTACTTGTGAACACGGCACGGTTGGCGGCTCCAGCTCGTTGCAGACGAATCCTGGTGGGTCAAAGGATTCAATGCTTTCATTGGCAGGCAGTCCACGATGTTTGATGCAGTCAAGCGGACACTGTATGGTGCATCTCTTATATGGTCGTTCCTCGGCTGCCATTTTGGTGATCTTGATGCAATTGTCAAATAATTTATGGCGTTCCTTCTCCTGCTTTTGGCGGCAATTCTCCCGATGCTCGTACTTTCGATAGGCCAAGGCGGCCTTGGAGAAGTATCCTGGCCAGCATTTATCCCGTCTCCGGCTCCTGTGCACCATTTGCCCCTCTGGCATCATATCCAGCTGGTTTTCGCGTCGATACTTCTCGGCCGCTTTGGCAAGTGGGTACAGTGGTCGTCCAAGTTTCTGTGACTCCTGCATCATTTTAACAGCACCGTCAAAGAACTCGACATCATCCATTAAATAAGGATCCTCGTCACAAGCCGTCATTCTCATTAGCTCCTCTTGACGCTGATCGATGAACTGCTGCCGTTGGCCGTACAGGATATTTCGTAGTTCGTCAGTTACTTTAACCTGTGCTCTCTTGGCATGTTCTTTGAAATTGTCGTTGGCCTCTTCGTTCCTATACCGCTTGGCAATCTCAAAGCGTCGAATCTCCGCTTCGCGCTGACGTCGTTCCTCAATTCTTTTACGATCCTTCAGTTCGTAGGCACGACGCTCTTCCGACAGATTCTTGATCGCACATTGGCGTCGAGCCTCATCGACCTCCACTTCAGCAGCGAATCTTTCTTCGATTGTATCCTGCAATTCTTGCATCTGCCGTTTCTTCGCCTGCTGCTCTCGGCAGAGACGCAAACCGTGCTCTTCCAGCTCTCGGGTCCGCTTCGCACGTATCTCTTTCGCTTCTTTGCCATGGCGGCCACCCAGATTCCGTTTCATCGTGAGAGCAACGCAGTTAACTCGATTCTCGATCTCGTCACACATGGCAGAGTCTGTTCGGGCGAATCAATGAACTCAATATGAGTAAATTTGTCTTATAATCATGCTTAACTTACATTTGGCATTCTCTGCCTTCTCCTTGAGGGCATCCTCATAGGCACGACGGCAGAACTCACGCTTTCTCACCGCCAGCTCCTGGCCAGCCTTCTCTTCCTTTTCCTGCATGCACTTGTACTGCTCTCGTTCCACAATGCCGTCGAATATCTCCTGCTCCTTGTCGGCCAGCTTTCGCAGACGTCTCGCTTCAAGATCGTTCTGGTAATCCTCACGCATTTTCTGTGACTTGGCCAGCTGTTGCGCATTCTCCTCTTGCTCGGTGACATTACCAAAGGGTATCAGCAGTTCCGGACACTGCTCCTCATCCAGACGCTGCTGGCGCTTCGCATTCTCGGCAAATTCGCATTTTAGTGCCTGATTGTAGTTACGTTGATGAATCACTTCGGTGGTGAGCAGAGCTTGGTGCAGCGCACGTGGTCCTGGCTTCATTAGATTCAGGATTCGAGAGGCACGCATGATGCGCTCCTTTCGACTCGCTTCCAACAGTTTAGCGGTCATTTGGGCTTTGGTCGCTTCACCCAATGATTTATCTATGGCCATATTCATCTTACTCTTGGAATCTACATTCAAATCGGGCATGTTTGTAAAGTGCTTGCACAATGCATCGCCGCCATCCTTCAGCGATTGATTATAACGTTGCTCTTCCTCTTGAGCTAACTGCCGTTCCAGTTTTTCATCCTGGCGTGAACGGGACAAGAGGCCGTTGAATCGATCCGATGATATTACCACTGGACGAAACCCAATGTTAAATCTTCTGTTCTCCGTGTGTCCGGGCTGTGCTGTGCATGGTTTGCTTAGTTGCATTGCCAAGGATAGATAGTGTGTTGTGTGTGTTTTTGTGTCGGAATACCGCAAACTGCGGTAAATAATGTTTATAATAAGTTATTTTTTTTTTAGTATTTTGTCTTTTTGTGGTTAGTTTGTCTTTTATGTGTTTGTGAATATGATGTTTTTTACACTACTTACTTAACCTAACCTAACCTACTGTATACAAAATTTCTATCTTGTTCGACCTCTATATCCATACCACTTTTAACTTTGTCCAACAGCTTTTTATTTATATTATTATTCATATTCATGTGGACATTTGTGTACGTGTTCGAAAAAGCTATCAAATCATTGCTATTAAAACAATATTTAATGTGCCCAGAATACCATCTAAAATATTAATTACCAAAAAACGAAAAATACGAAAAAAAGACAATCGTTTTAGTGTTTGCCAACAAGTCAAATGTTTCAGATAGGGAGGGAAAAGCTTGCGGATTTGCGGATAAGTTGTTCGTTCGCTTGGCTTCCTTCAGAATTGGATAAACCTCAATTAGTGTTTTTGCCCGCTTAATCAAATTAAGCAAAGCCTTGGCGACTGGTCCGATTCTTGGCGGGTGAGGGGTGAGTCAACAACCGAATGCTGCGAAATCCAATTCCCAGCTGACGGAAAATTATACAAAACTCAAATGAGAATTGTGAGAATTGGATGAGCAACAGCGAAAGAAAAACATTGTCGGCCAGACCAATGTTAACTTTCATGCGAAAAGTTTTTTGTGGAAATCGGCGGGCGTGATTTTCTGCACGCAAAATGTTGCGCTCCCACACTGCTCGGGTGGAATGCAAACGGAAATGGGTGGGGCTGCCTGGGGGTGAGTTGGCCGTGATCCTATGCCAGACACCGGCGATTATTGTTACAAAATGCAACGGGCCGTGTAATTTTTTAGGCATGGTACACGCACAGCGGGACTCAAAAATGGAAATTCAAACTCGAATTCACATTCAGAGTCAGATTAAGATTCAAATTGGCCAAAAGAAAAGCTGCCGCAGTCGCCGCCGTCGTGGTGAACTTTTTAATGGGCAATAGGGACCTGCATGCGGGGCGTGGCATGCGGTAGATGTGGGCGTCTTTGTGTGTCTTCTGAAAACTGTTTGGTGAAATTAGTTTTCCAACTTTTCTCGTTCTTTTTCTTTAATTTTTTTTTTCTGTGTGTTTTGTATTTTGGGTTGCCATTTCGCATGGGAAAGGAAAATCTAAACGCAGCCTGTGAAATTAATTTGCATTTCGGTTTTCTTTACGCTGTCATTTTATTCCCTTCACGGGTGGGTGGATGCTCCAATAAAAATCAAATTTGAATAATTTTTAATTTATTTAGCTGTCTTTCTCTTCTTACGTTGTTTTTATTTGTATTTGAAATTTTCGTTTGCAGTATTTTAAACGGTTTCGATGTAATTGCTTTTAAATTGTTGTGGACAACAACAACTTTTCTATTTTTTCTCTCTAAGGTCATCTATATTTTTTGTGTACATTTTGTCCGCTGATGATGGTGATATTAGACGCATCACAAACAGATCTATCTCAATTAAAGTAAAATAATATCCAAAATATTTTATATAAAATAATTCAAACACCTCAATTATTTAGTATTTAGTTAATCTTTATTGCATTTCATTTGAATCCATCTCAAAATTCGTTATCGCATATTATTATTTTATATTATTTTGCTCAGTATGGTATTGCATAATGTTAATTTCAATATTTTGTTGTCTAAACTAAAATGGTCTTAGATTTTTAAAAATTTTGTTGTTTGCAATTAACTATTGTTATTTTTTAGCTACAAATGACGAGTTATTTCAACATTCATATACAATACATAATCTCACTTAAATTCATGACAATCACAAAAGTTAGGATTTGATTTGCTTTCTTTTAGACATTGTGCAATTTTGGTATCTGTTTGGTTGATTGTTTGCTTTAAAGTGAAATATTTTTTTTTGTTATTTTAGCACTAAGTATGTATAACCACAACGCTTTTAGAACCATCAATACTAATACTTATGAACTGCAATACGCGTTTAATATATATTTTGTAAGATCTGGAGCAACTGACAGAAAGAGACTGCTAAGAGTGAATTAGAATAGTTTATAGCTTCTCAGATGCACAATTGATTGATTAATTAGTTTGCTAAATGTCCTGGCATTCTGGTAAACGGAAGTCTAGCATCTCTATTAATTAAAATTCTCAAAGTTTTTCTTAGACAACTTAGTGACATAGATTACTAACATCTGGACAGTGTTTCACATACAATTACCTACTTAGTTATAGCTTAATTAGCTTGACTATCGATCCAACCGAATAAAAAGTTTTAATGGCATTTGATTTGCACATTATATAATATATTTTACATTTAATAACTATTATTATGTTTCACATTTATTTAGACAATACACACACATATGACATACACTAATCTGTTATAGCTCCGGAGTTTGCTTTTAGTAAAAAAAATGTATCACAAACATACATAAAATGAACACTTAAAATGCTTAAATTTGTCCATTTCCATTTAATTTATGGTTTAAATCTGCCTAAACTGTGAAACTACATCTGCGCTCTGATTTCTTTATTTGCAGCATGAAAAAACTGTTAAAAATGGTTTGCTAAATGAAAAAACTCGGAAAACCATATGACTTGCATATTTATGAAAACCATATTAAAATAATATTTATTTGAAATTGTGGAATATCGAATAATCTAGGCTTAAATATTTGAAAAGTGAACGGTTTGTGGCAATGTGGGAAATAGTTCGTTGAATCATTTTCAATTGTTTAAGCATTTCATGTTCATGACTGCAACGATTTCAATTTAAAGATTTTGGGAATGCTTTTGGAAAGATTAATCTCAAAAATCTCATAGATAGATACACACAGAATATGAGTTTGTTTAAATTCTTTAAGTAGATTTGAAAAGTGAAAAATGGTCTAGTAAAAAACAATAAACTTATAGATCATTTACTGAGGGCTACAACTTTCCAAGTTCTTACATAACTCTATGAGACATGGTGCAATATTAGACAGACAAAGATACACTCACACTCACACACACACACACACACACACACACACACACACACACACACACCCACCTATACACATAAGCATATAAGCAGGCTACGATTCGTACACATTCACGGTTAGACCACCAGGAGATATAAGATAAACCTAACTAGTATTCTATTTGCGATACTCGGCCATGGACTCGCCAGTCTGCACCATCGATGGCGGTGGACTGTGACAGGCAACGCGGATGCGGCTGAAGCGCAGGCTGCTCGTATGATGGGGCTGACGCGATTGGGCCTGCTGATGGAGCGGATGGTGGGCGCACTTGGCCTGACGGGCCATTAGCTGACTGTTGGCGAGTATGACGTCCTCTGCGTACTAAATGTCCGGTATGCTGCGACCTGCGGCCAGCTTGGCGGCAACGGTCGATACCGAGGATGTTGCAGCCGCTTCAGTAGATGTGCCCAGCAGCAGTTTGCTCTTGGCACAATTGGCATCATGGAATAGATGCTCGCATAGCTTTGGCTCCGATGTTGAGAACTTACCCAAGTCGGTTGCGGTGGTGCTGATACTGGAGTCCTGTGTTGCCCCGTTGGGCAGCATATTCAAATGCAGATCACTGTGCTTGCTAAACGAGGTGGTCTGATGCTGATGCTGTTGCGGCTGATGCAGCTGATGGACATGGACGTGCTGATGATAGGGAAAGTGGGGGAAATTCTTTTGCATCGCATGCAGATTACCGGAGCTGACAGTGCGTTCCAAGATCTCGCCCCAATACTTCTCCGAGAGTCCTTCGATATCGGGACGGACTGTGGCATACCCCTCGCTGGCTGCCTGATGGGCATGACCATGTCCGCCTCCTCCACCACCACCACCACCAAGTTGTCCTCTTATGTACTGTGAGGCGCTCCGACTCAGACTATTCGCTCGGGAGCGTGCACAAATGCCAAGCACAGAGCCCCCAATGGCGCTGCCAATGCCACCACCACCTCCACTCGAACCACCGACAGCACCACCATTGTTCGCTGGCGGCCGCGAGGCGGGCGGCTCTGGCGGCAACGGAAGCGTTGTGATTTCAAAATCGTTCGCATTGATGTGACAACAGGCTGATTTGTGTTCGGGCGTGTCCTCGTTGGGGAAACACTGAAGCGAGCAAAAAGCATCATAAATCTGTTGTTAGTTTCGAAATTAATAAGCATTTTAAAATTCGCATTTATTATGGCCGACCGACAAAAGATTTACAGTTGTGCTTGGTGCTTAGGGGCGACTCGAGAAAGAAAAATAAATCAATATAAAACTAGCGATGGTTGTCTTCTTTGATTATCAAATCTAAAAAGGCAAGTTTCGCTTTCGAATATAGTCGATGCATCCCTAAATACTGAATAGAATAACAAGTAAATGATAAACATGTTAAGAAAATAATGATCTTTTTAATTTGTAGCTGAAGATACATATTTATCTGACCCGAGACCATCTCTAACGAAGGTTATTGCACATAAATTCAGCCCAAATGGTCTCAGTTCTGTTTGAGTTTTTCGGAAGTAAATCATGAAACTTGACTGCGCTTTCCAAAAATAGATTTGCCTGCCCCAAGGCCCCAATCAGCCCGCCCCCTTTCACCACGCCAATCAAAAAGCGAGTGGGTTTTCATGTTTACGCTTGCCGTGAGGGTCAATCCGGGTTGCAGCGGCGGGGCAGAGAGTGGGGCATGTAAATGCCGCTTTGGATTTTCTCTTTCATAATTCAAAATCACCTTTCAGTGTTTGCTATTATTGTTTTTGTTTGGACGTTAGAACGAGTTTCACGTTGTATGCACTTTTCACCTTTTCGGATTTATGGCTCATGCTTGGCCCTATTCGAAAGTCCTGGTTTATTTTTGGCATGGTTACAACTTAGCTGCGGCTCTGCTTAAAATCCGCTTGCAGATTTTTAGCAGCTTTTGTATTCATAACTTCAAAGAGTATTAAGGGAGATAAATGCAAATCATATGCTCTGTCTGTGTGCTCAAGAACCTTTTGATTATGGACAGCAATTGGATAATATGCGAAACAAAATGTTTTTACTACTGTTCTCGTTGTTCTTTTTAGTATCAGATTCGAAATACAATCTGCTTAAAGGATTGTGTGGCATAATTAAAAAGATAAATCGACAGGACAAACAATAAAGAATGTTATAATTAACAGATAATGAAAATAACGCGATAATTTGAGATGCTTAAAAGTGCATTTGGCGTAAAATGAAAAGAAAAGAAAACTCACTTTGTTTGGCATCAATTGTCGGCTGAGGCGTCGAAAGTCTGAATTGAGCAGCCAGTACATGAAGGGATTCCAGAGACTGTTGCTCAGTGATGTCCAGGTGACCAAGAAATCGAGGAACGGCGGCAGCTGAATCATAGAGAGTACAACACAAATTTTGCAATTAAATCGTATGCGGCTAATATGGCGTATGCGCAACATGATCACAAGCACAAACACGAACTGATTACGTATGCGACGCGTGAACTGGCGTTATTACCCATAAGTACTTGTAAGTAGTACTTGCCTTGGAACCGGTGCAAGCGGTGACAATCTCCTGAATGGTCCACGGTGTGACCATAACAATGAAACCCAACGAAATGGCCGCCATCGAACGTGACGTGTTGCCGCTGGAGTTCTTCTCCTGAATGGGCACAATCTGCAATGTGGATGTGCATTCATTTAACAATCTAATTAAAAGCACGACACAAAATGCGAGAAAACAACAAGAGCAACATTTAATTGCAATAAACGGCATGCCACATGTTTGTGGCCTTGTTGGGTATACATAGAAATACGTATTGCATTTAATTGTGGCTTGTGTTTATTTTCGTAAAATTGCTGAGAAGTAAATATACAATCCAATTAAGTGAAGTTTTGCATTTTTGTAATATCTCTGTAAATGTTATACACATTTCAATTTCGAGCAATGCGATTAGAGCTGAGTCTGAATGTGCAATTTTTATTAGAAATTTTAATGAATTTTTATTAGAAATTTTAATGAATGCAAAAATGTACGATTGTTGATTTCAAAACAAGGGTGAAATTATTTCAAATGAATTTTTAATCTATGATAACACAAATTTTATAAAATTTGCAACAGTTATCTCATCTCTGAATGCTATTGGAGTAAAAATATTAAAATTGCATAATATGTAAACTATGTAGACTCACCTTTTTAGTAATCTTGTTTGTCATGCTGGGCATGCCGACCAGGCCCATGCTCATGGCCATGCTCAAATGGTTCATAACCGGCGCACGATGATGATGTGGATGTGGATGCGGATGATGCGAGTGCCCATGTCCGCCATGTCCAAATATATGCGAGGAATGCTGTTGTTGCTGCTGCTGTTGCTGCTGCTGTTGTTGTTGCTGCTGTTGCTGGTTGTAGTACAGCTGCTGCTGTGGCGGATGGTGTGGATGTGGATGATGGGCGGCTGCTGTGAGTGGCATTGTTGGATCGTTTAAGCGAAAGCGGCTCATATGGAAACTGGAACCATAGCAGTACATCAACACCATCGTGGTGGGAAAGTACAATGCACATGTGGATAAAATGCGATACGATGGCTTGCTATAAAATGGCTCGCATGCCATTAAGCCTGTATTGTTGAAGTAGTATCCTGTGCATACAGATATAGATAAATGCCGAAATGAGCAGATGTTTGTAATGTTCAATGTTTCAGGTGCTCAGGTGTTGGTAGGCGTGGTTGTTCGCGGTTTAAAACTCACCTTTGGGCAGCACGAGAAACCCAAACACCGTCAGGCTGATAATCCATGTTAAGCTCAATATGGCAACACAGCCCTGCAAAACAAACACACAAATACATACATAAACACACACATTGGATACATTTAGCTGTCGTTGGGTTGTTGTGGTTTTAGTTTGGTTTAATTTGCTTTCACCAACAGGTCACATCGTAAAGCCAAAATTGTTGTTTTTAGTTGCTCAAATATACATATACTTATAGAAATTTACTGTGGATTATTTAAAAGCATTTATATTGAATTCTGATTATTTTAAAATCAAATATTTTATTTTTGATCCATTAATTTATTTATTTTCGAATTTTGATTATTTAAAGTTCTGATTTTGGGTCAATAAATCCTTTTTCGATTCTGGCAGCACTGAGCTTACTATCTGTATTTGGCATTGCCACGTACTCAAAGTGGGGCTCATCTCTAGCTCTCTACAGTATGCTCTCTCTTTCTCTCTTCCTCTCCTTTTCTATTTCTCTTTCACTGATTTGAGATGACTGCAGCTGGTTGTGTCTGATTTATAGCTGGTCCGGAATTATGTACACGTTTCAAATTTCAAGTCATTTTGATGCGGAACATTGCAGCTGAACGTTATGGTCTATTGTAATTACCCATCAAAGTCAATCAATCATGGATTTTATATACATAGATTATGCTAACATTTACTGCATGGTATAATCATTCAATTCTTCAGTGACCGTAACGTAATGTAAATAGTTCGCTCTTGCACTAATTAAAGCTGCAAATTAGCACCACATTGAATAGTACAAAAAAATATCTCACAGATACTTGTTGTACAAAGTTTTTGTAGTTTCTTTCTTCCTTGGCTTCCTAAATTGGAGCAAGAACAGCAAACAATAGCAGAAAATGGAATTAAAAACTTTTGATTACGTTGAAGAAAGTGGAAAGATGCGGCAACCACAGGCAGACACAAAAGCAAATATATGGGATAGGTTGCCACAATCATAACTGACTAGCTGACTGACAGACTGACAATTCACACAGATCTGGCATTTTAATGGTGTACACTTAGAATAAAAAGCACTCTGAAATTTCGAAAATCACATTTTGGAAATTTATTTCTTAATTTCGGCAACAATTTCTAAAAAAAAATAAAAACAGAGCATTTCAATTTGTAAGAAATTGTTCTTACTCTTGTAAATTATTTCTAAGAAACCGAAAATCTATATAGTATTTAAGGTGATTTTCTTATTTCAGTTCATTTTATTTCTGAGTGTAGAAAAATGAGAATACCCATCTATTCAAACATTCAACAACATTTCAACAATGAAAAAGGGTTGGCATATTGCAAACCAAATAAAACTTTCAACTTTTCCACTTTGCGGAAACATCTTTTATTGTTTATTTAATTTACGCTATTATATTATTATATTTGAAAGTTTTCCGCGTCTGACGCGTTTAACATTCATATTAAATATATAAAATGTCTAATAAATGCGCTGAATATAAATTTCCATTTGAAACTGACCAGAACGCGGGACTTGAAATAAAATCAGTTTGTGTTTCCCAAGTTGAAATTAGCAATAAGTGGGCCAACAAAATGGTGTTGCCCAAGTGCCAGTCGCGTCAGCTGGCGTTTATTAATTTTCGACGTTGCACATTTTATTACAAATTGGGTAGATTCGCAGATTCATCCGGTCAAGAATTTGTACACAGTACACAGCAAAATTAAAAGCGCCGCAACTTTCAACTTATATTTAGTTGCTTTTTAGCAGCAAGAATTTAACTACCTAAAAATTCACAAATATTTTTTGCTTCCAACGCATGCTATAACTTTGACTAAAATCAAAATTTTGTATTAAAATTGAAATAAGGAAAGTTTGATAATATATTAGTTTGATAACAATAAAGTGTGTGAGTTTATAATAAATCTACATAGTTTTGTTGACATTAAAAGGTCTCTTACTCTTTACAGATTATTAATACTTTCAGATCGTTTGATTCAGTGACAATCATTTTATAAACGTTGACAAGTTCAAATATTTTAAGTGATACAAAAATAGTGAAAACGCTTTGCATTATGCTAAATAGAAGAGTTGGAATGTCTTGATTTGATTCACATCATGGGATAGCGCCCACCACCAGTTTATCCTGGCTTATCTGAAATTGGGATACCGTAGAGAACAGAGCCTTTAAATCCTCAAAGTCCAGCGATGGATTACACATCTACAGAAAATAGACATCAGCTAGGATGTGATGCGCAGACCAGTGATGGATGATGGCTCATTATCATGCATACAATGCCCTTTTTCCCATTGTGGGATTAGGCTTAACTCATTTACCGCTCTTTTGGTGCAGAGAGGACACGTGTGCAGATGGACATAATGGTTAAACATTTGGCGACTCGGTCTGCAGAAAGGTAATTGGAGAGCACCTCTTTCTCATAATGCATTTGCATTTAATCTCGCACAACAGGCATTCACCGGGGCAGTATTTAAGCCACGAGTGCGAACTCGTGTTAAAGCTGAAAAATTGCAATATGTGCGAGGTGGTCCAGGCCCCACCCGTGCACCAGATGATTTATAATAGAACTGTGAATATCTGCACAGGCATTCAGCAAGTGAGTTAAGGCTTATCTCAATTCTATTTCCGCCACAAAATATCTCTTTGTCTAGGTTGGAAATGACATGCCAGCCGCTTAGCCTCCTAACGTGCTCGCAGAAGTGGAATGTGTAGAGCCTGAGACACGCGATATTGTTTTTAATGGCTATCCCGGCTTTCTGGGCTTGAAAATGAGCCATCATCCATCACTGGTTACCGGACATCATTTTCTGGCTGATCTGAAGGCCTTGAAAGATCTGTTCCAATTGCAGATCAACTAAGACCAACGTGTGATGACCGTTGCCCCATGTTATGGATAAGCAAAGATGAGATTACTATTTCCAAATTCTTAAATATCTTTCTGATTAAAAAAATGATTGAAAATCAAAGCACTGAATGCCCATAACCTTTTAGATTTGTGAGTAATCGAGGTCTGAGTATAATTCGCAAAACACATCGAATTCAGTTGATTGTAGTTCATCCTTTGATTGATTTGGCAAATTGGGTATTTTGGGTGCTTCATTTAAAGGACGCTTAATAGTCATAATGTTAATATCCATTTGCATACTGAAACACAAATCATAAAAGCACCGTTGTCCGAGAAACCGGAAGGGGCTTTTCCTTTGTAAATGATAGGCGGCCTTTCACTGTCCGAGCCCTAAAATTATTTCTTTCCACTTCCGCACACACACATTTTTCTTATTGCTCCCTTTTTACTTTATACTTTTTTTTTTTGTGTTTGTGCAATTTTTTCTCATACTTTTTGGTCTAGTCTTCATTTTATTATTTTTTTTTTTGGGATGGCTGCGTTAATGTTTGCTGCCTCATAAATTATGATGTAAGAGAGAGAGAGAGAGAGAGAGAGAGGGAGAGAGAGAGTGTGTGTAGGTGTGTGTGCGGGTGCGGGTGTGTGTGTGTGTGTGTGGGACAGGGATAGCGAGTGTAAGCCATTGGCATTGTTTGCTGCCCCTTTGCCACTTGCGGTTGCCTTGAACGGATCGTCGCTTCATTTGCCTGTCCTGACCGGTCCTTAGTACTTGGTGCAGTATTTCGCTGTGGTCTTCGTATTTAGTTAAAGTCAACCAAGAGCAACAAAATACGATAAAGGAAGACGAGGAGTGAAAACCACTTTGGTTTTTCTTGTTTTATTCTTATTTTATACACTTTTCGACTGTCTATGCTGTTTTATTTTCGCTTGCTTTGCTTTTTCCTGCTTTATTTTGTGTTGCGTGTTTTCTGTTTTAATGACTGGCAAAAAACTTAGAGACCATTATCCGTATTTATCTCTACGTAATTGGCTCATAGATAATGTTATTGTTGTTGTTGCTGCTATTGATGCTGCTGCTGTTGCTGCTGCTACTGTTGCTGCTGCTGTTGCTGCCACATACTAGATTTTATTGGCGCGTGATTTCTTGATATTTCACCACATACGCTTTTCTTTATTGCTTGTTGTCCTGCTGCGATAAATTCTTATCTTAACTTGTCGCACAGCTTATCGGCAACGTGGCAACGTGCCTTATCTGCGTTGCCGCGCATTAGCCAACTTATAGCATACACACGGCCAACGTTATGCAACATTTGCTCGCTCATCAGAGTCGGGAAAAACCCCAATCTGCTTCCACTCATTTCCCAGCCCCACCCTCTCGCCCGTCCACTTACCTTCTTGCTGGAGTGCTGATAATAGCGTCGCGGATGCAGCGCACACATATATCTGTCCACTGCCATGCAGACGAGTATAACGGCGCTTTGTTGCGATAACGCTCCGCGCAGCAAGGCCTGCGAATAACAACAAATAAAAAAGTCATATTTACCGTGAAGGGATATAATTAAACAAAAAAAAAAACAAAAACAGATATAAATCATCATTAATCATCAAGAATGTGAATCCTTAATTTAAGCGTTAGTTAAAAACTGAATCAGTTTAAATGATAAGCTTGGATACAGAAAAAAATAATAATAAGGTATTGTGTTAATGAGAGCATTGCTGCCGGGTTCATTGAGCAACAGCATGATAACTTAATTGGCAAACAACTCGCCATTAAATGGAGACTGGTACTCACCTGGATCTGACAGAAGATCTCGCCATATGGCCAACAGTGAAACAATGCTGGCATCAGCCCAAACGGTGTAATTAACAGGCCAATTGTTAGGTCATTCAGCGCCAGCGAGGTGAGCAAATACCGTGGCTAATAGCAACATTCAATTTAACAGTTGATGAATACAGTTTATTACTTCCTGCTTACTCACCTGTTGATGTATGTAGGCAGCGTATCGGCGATTATTAATGACAAAGATGACCAAACAGTTGGCCCCAATCACACCCAGCGTCAGCACCAATATCAAAACGGCCTCAATCGTCTCCGCTATTCCAATGTGAACGATGAAATTGTGGCCCGAATAACGCGGATGCGAACAACTTGAATTCTTTACAGCGGGCGCCACAAGCAATGAGCCAGTCTTAAGGTCCATTGCAATTCTACAGGAAATACAACAAAATATGTAATGTGACTCTAGATTTCAATCGATGTCCATAAACGTATTAGTTTTTAGATCGCTCCTTGAGAAAGGATGTCAGTAGAAAATTTGGAAACGTCCCAAGTACAAAAAGCTTGCCAGAAATATCATTTTTTATAGTTGTATGACCAAAAATAAATTGATGAGCAATCACATCGACTGAAAACAACTGCCAATAATAGTAATCAAATTTTGCCAGTAGACAGTAACAAAGAAATAACAGCACAATTTCAATTTATCCCCAAAGACTGAAAAATAGATGTAATTTCAAGGTGCTCATTGTTTTAAAGATGAAGTGAGTGACGAAACCATCCGCTTAGTTAGCTTTGATTGTCTACTATTTGCCATCTGTTGGCCAAAGGGGCAGTGCTGGCAGTTTGGTTACCGTTATCACTGCATTTGCGGTAAGCTGACAGTGACGTCGTTTCCGGTGCTTCCGTTTCCTCCATGTACAAATATGCAAAATGGCGACAATTTGTTACGCCATAATCAAGTCAAAACATGGAAAGCGACGCAACGTTGACAATTTATCAGCAGTGCGAGCACGAGAACGAAGACACACAAAGAGTAGAAAAAATAGTTAAGGAGAGAGAGAGAGTGAGAGAGAGAGAGAGAGAGAGGGAAGTTGTGCCAATATGGCGTCAGTTCCGGTTCTGTTGAAAACAACGCGCTGACATAATGAAACTTTACAGGATAATTGGATGATTTTGTGTGGTTTTTCTTCTGTTAGTGGCTGTCCAGTTTTTAGTGCCCTCATTCGCGATAAATCAAAACCACAGTCTGCCTAATGTTGATGTCTTTGCCTACGCTTCCTCTTCGCCATTCTCTCTGAACGCTGACATTGAGAAATGCTACAGAATGGAAGAACATAACAGAATATTTGATTTAAAGAGGTTTGTCTACGGCAAAAACAAAAAAAACTGAAATGAAAACGAAACGAAGAGTACAAAAATTGTTGTAGACAACGCCGTCAGTCATTTGTTTTTTGTTTTTTTTTTTTTTTGTTTTTGCCACGTGATTTTATTAAGTTTGGCCATGCTTACAATGTCATATCCCCGAGCTCTACGACTGTGATTTATCGCTTGGTCGTCTTTGAGCGATGCTCTGTGTTTATGCTAAGTCCACAAATCACCACATGAAATATAACCAAACTGGAAAGCATTAAGCCCAATAGTCTATTGTATTAGATTTACAACCACAATTTTGTCGGAGAACATAAGGCCGTGTTATTAGATCGTGCTGCAGTACGTTAGTCATGTACGAAATTCAAGGAGCAAATGCCAACTTTGACAGATTAATCTCTAAACATTCAACTGTGGACGGCTTATGCTCGATGAATTGATGAGTTTTGTCATTTGTAAGCTTCTGTCTACATCATTTTTACAATATGATAATGTACATATTGTGGTCATAAATCCATTAGAAATCAGATTTCATTGTGAACTTCGTTCTCTTTCATATAAGCCATATATAGTTTGTTGCGTAGTTAGAAAACTTGGAAGAAAATTAACAAGAATACTTATATATATGCGTTGGTATGTTAAATAAGTTTTTTTCAGTTTTAAAATCTACACAAAAATAGTAATTAGAGCCAAAACTAAAAATTAACTGCAATAATTTTCCGCTGTCCTGGAACTCAATCCCACCTTTTTGATCAGGTGCTTTCAAAGTCATTTTACGAGAACCACAAATATCCATTTGTACGATTCAATTCACGGTTGCTGGGAGTGGTTGCTGATACAGCACTAAACCGATAGAGAGAGAGAGAAACAATAAAGCTGGATAAGGTAGAGCGCTGCAGAGAAGAGCCGAGCAAGTAGAGCGGAAAAGAGAATTGGCCAAAAACCAATTCAATTTCAAAGTAATGAAAAGAGGAAATTCGCTTAATTCCACGTATTGTTAAGTCGGACGCAATGGAAACTGTAACCAAAACAGAAGCCTCAACCCAAAACAGCAGCAGCAGCAGCATGAAGCAGAGAAAATGAAGTTTGTGCAACATTGCCAAAAATGTTCGGGTTGCAGTGTCAAATCCGAAACCGCGTAATTGTTTTAAAATGCGAATAAGCGAAAATGGAAATAAAAACCCGTGGCTACAATGTGCAAAGCAGCATTTGCAATTTAAATAAACGAAAGCTCGCAATGAAATTTACAGTACTTAGTTTGGAGCTGCACACTCATCAATGTTGTATATTGTGTATCTGACTATAACAACAACAATAACAACAACAACTGCAATGTTGATGAGCTCAAACAAACCCAAACATTGCCAAAGACAAATGCGAAATAAATTATTTAGTTGCTGGATTAGAGAGCCACAATCCGCTTTTGAATTTACACTCAAGTTACTTCCATTAGTGGCATTTGCTTAGCGTGCAAAACTATTGCATATCATTAGGTGCTGCCTCAGTTGCGTCGCTTCGCTGCCACCGCATGTGGCAAGCGGCAGGGAATGCAGTGATGCAGGGATGGGTTTGTCAACCACCGCACGTTGCTTGCCTAATCCACGCCCAAACTTATAACACCAACTTGGCACAGGATTTGGTCAGGATGACAATGACAACGAAAACGGCAACCGTAAAGACAACGGCGACAAGGATGTGCAAGAGAAGGAAGAGAGCGGAGGCAACTACAACGCCATGCCACGCTGTCTGTAATTGTGTCCACAAAATGACAAAAAGAGGCATTCAGCAATGAACAATCAACTAAATTATACCCTGTACTCGGGTACAATAAATCTAACAATTATTAGAATAACCTATTTTCATTATATACGCATTATGGAAAATAAACATTTCTGAAAACATTTGCAGAGAATTTATTATAATCCAAATTTAATTGATTGAAATATCATTAAACCATTTTTATGCTTATTGGAGAGTTGTTTATTGTAAAATAAAATGAAACATTCTAAAATATCATTAGCAGCTCATATTAGATTCAGAACTTCAACGAGCAAACACATTTAGATCACATTTGTTTATTTAATATTTTTTGTTTGTTTTGTAGGATATGCAACTTTGGAGGGATTCAAGATATTAAACATTACCATACGAATACACGACAGGAATTTAGTACTGTTGAATATGGCAAAAAAGGGTTAACAATTCAGTATTCACAGTGCGTTTTATGTATGTGTGTGCGAGAGTGTGTCTGTGAATGTGTGTGTGAATTGGTGTGTGGATGTGTGGCTGGCCGCTCTATGCGTGCGTGCTAATGCACGAATCTGTAGAGTCCGACCCTTTTATTCAAGCCACATCCAGACACAAACCTCTCAATGCATTTCATGCACATTTACACCACACACACACGCACACACACATGTATATACATATAGAGTATAGCTGAAATGTTGGTAGTTCTGTGGCTTTGTTCTTAAGCCCCTACTGACAGTTCATGTGAATATGTGTATGCATGTTCAAATGTGTGTGTGTGTGTGTGTGTTCACTTCAAATGCAAATTTGCAGCGCACGGATTTTGGTTGCCGTGTTTTTTCTTGCTTCTCGTTGTTGTTGCTGTTATTGTCGTATTTTGGCAGCATTTGCCAGCTGTGGCTTATTTATAAGATTTGCTTTGAAGCACCGTACTTTACACACATGGGTCAAAGCTGATTCCGCTTGACAAAATACCCGAGTTCCCATCAGCCGTTGACTGATTGCACATTCCATGCAGCCAGAAGAGCAACCAGTCAGCCAACCAGCCAGCCGGACCAAGTGATTTAAGCCACATTGTGGTGACTGGTGTTGAAGGCCATTTTTCTGGCTCCTCAGATTGTATGCAGCTAATGGGGCTGTTCATAATGATTTTTTAGCTTCTTAAAGTTACAAATTTGTTTAAAAATTTAACCATTAATCAGTTGCAATATAATTTCGCAACCTGTCAAATATTACAGCCAACAAACTTTTCAACAATTTCAGATTGTTCATTTTGCTATTATCTGAAGCTGACGCAACTTGATGTCAGCTGCAGATGCGCTAACTGATATCTTTCAGCTGCTTGTCTCGAAAAGTTAAAATTCATTTAGTCCAGCATGGCGTATGCGTGTTAATTTGTGAAATAAATAATGAAATGAAATTTTTGCTGGGGCAATACGATACATACGAGTTTATCTAATTGCCAGATGTGTGGCAAGTGTCAACATTTGTTTATTACTCCATATTATTTTCAGCAAGCAAAGCGTTATTACTTTTGAGTACTTCTGCTGCCACTTTCTCAACGCTTATTTGATTTTGAAGCTCATCAGCACAGCTGTTTAGGATTGTCAAACAAGTATTGTATGTATATATATTATTATATGATAACGAGTAAAAGGGCTCGAGGGGTTTTCAGTCTAGAACAGTTCAAACTTCATCTCGGGCATTAACATTAATTAATTCAAATTCAGATGCTTGCTGCTAAAATTCTGACAGCAGATCAACTTTCTCATTTTCTCGTTGTGCCCCATTGTTGCCCGTAGGAACAGCCGTTTGAGAAGTTGAGACATTTGAGGCATTCGAGACATTTCAAACATTATGCATACGCCGTGGGTGAAGTTTTCGCTACACAAACTCGAACGCATACAAAGATTTTAATATGCATAAGACTTTCAATTACAGCGTGCGAATAACACACACATTTAACTTTTTAATAAGCAATTTTGTGGCTGGCATTGTATTAAATCAAATTATGTCCCATTACGCCAAAATGATTGAATTATGTGCGTTCAATCAAAAACCGTGTGAAATTATGGATTGAGAGGTGCGACATTTTCGAGGAGAGCCGCAGCAGTTGTGTGCATAAATCAGTTATAATATAAATCATTGATTTAATATTATTGAATTCAAATAAAGCACATTAAATTATTTGACTGGCATCCGGCGCCACTGTGGCTGCGTCCGCTCCTGCCGATGATGACTTGATGATGGCTCTGTCCTGGCTGGCGTCGGCCTCAATTCGATTGCTATGCAAAGCGAATTCACAAAACGA